AACAGCATTAAAACTACTTACAATTAGATTTAATTAAATAGCAAAATCTACGCTGTATTTAATTATTAAGGTCGTATCTTTTACGTATGATTGACGTAAAGTATATAATAAATAGCTAAAGAAGGTATTGTGACAATTTTTGACTAGTTCAAATCGTGGGAAAAAAATCTTGCCATATTGGTCCAGAATCTATTGGTCATTATGGTCTACTCTCGTCTGGGATTGCAAGTACTAGTTTTTAGTAAAACGGGCAATTAATTGTGTTAGCTCCAAAAGAATCGTCAAGATCTTATAAAAACCTATAACTCAAAAGATATTAGCTAAATGAATGTCTAAAGGGTCGGGGACCGAAGTAAAAAAAACTGATCTTAATTAAGAAGACTTCATTCGTCACTATGTTGTACCTCAAAAATGAATACCTATTTGAAGTTTTATAATATTATACAATATTCAAAGGAGGTTTTATTACAACGAACGCGAACTTTTGTCTGCTTTGCTTGATGTTATTATTTATATCAATAAGTGATCGTTTGTTATCACAAATCATTTCTTGTAATTATAAAACTTAGAATATAAGATTTGCGTAGCTAATTAAAGGTACAAAACTCTTTGTGAGCGAGTCAGACTAAGCACTTAATTTTTAATAAAGCCGTGGATCAATAGGACGCGGGAATTTTTTCTAGGATTGAGATAAGTAGTCTCACACTCGGTTTCTAATCTCAGAAAAGTAATTAGGTCATTCGGATGAGTAGGACACAGATAGACCACCCACTTGTACAAGACAGTAATAAATAAAGGATTCACTAGGATTCCTCTTCACTAGGTAAGGATCACACATGGGAATTATAAATGATGATGATGGCGACGATGTACCACGTTAATGTTGAATTTCTAGCATTACGCACAGACCGTAACTGTCCGTAATAGTGCGTCTGCCTCGTATAATTGGAAAAATCAAGATTACACACAATTTAATAATTATTATCAGAAAAATCTATACTTGATATAATCCTTTGATATACAAACCTGTAACAACAATAAAATATATATGTGTAATTGTATATAATCGCAAATGAATTCTTATCAACGTTGATTATCTCCTTAAAAAGACGTGCCGTTGGTATTTTAGATTCAGTCATCGAATCCTGCGCATACGAGAACCGCTATCAATAATGGCGATTTAATAATTCGATTGTATTTGTGTTCTCGATTCGGTTGTGGCTGGACGATTACTTAAGTGCTATAGTGTGTGGCAGCGTCAGGTAAATCTTTAATGACTTATGTTGAAGCGAGTGTATTTTATTTAAAAACTATAGTAAGTACTGGTACTGTTAGTGATTATCCGCTTAAGTATAAGATTAGTGAGTTCCGTCGAAATATGTTTACCTGTATACAGACAGTCTTATAAGACAAACGTTATCGAACGCATTTCAAATACTCATCTGGGGTATACTAGAATACGATTTACATACTAGTATTGCCGGAAATAGAACTCCTGACCTTAGGAAACTATTCTTATACCATAATATGGACTGGAGAATGGAGAACTATTGTAATTTCAGGGAACGCTATTAAAAATCTCAAAAAGAACAATCCGTTTAGACTACTTATCAATAAAATATTTGTTGAATTGAAACTTCACTTTCTAAGTTGCTATCAAACCGACATACAAACATATTCTGTAGCTTAAGTAGTATCAATATATGATTTATATAATTTTAACTAGATTTGTATATTTGTAGTTTCTTTCATATCTTTGCTTAGTGCTTCGCGAGTTTTAATTTGATTTGCAATTATGTCTAAAACGCGTAATATATATTGAAAATAATTATAATCTGTCCTGCCGTCTTAGATGTCTTAAGTAGAGAGACTCCTAAAAAACATGTTGTTTTACTTGTATACAATATAGACTTGGCAAAGGTTTATTTATTACGTTAAAATAAGACGGATGGGAGTCGTAAAAACTAGTTCCTAAGCTTAAAATTTTAAAATCAATTTTTCCCACATATAATTGCCATAGTTACTCATTTACATAAAATGTCCGTTTCCCCGTGTGGCACTGGGCGAACACACTTCTGTGCTCGCTTATCACAGGCGGGTACTTGATCAGACTTCTGTGCCCGACATAAGGAAATTACATATTTATTTATTCTTTGATTACTATCTTTTTAATTTTTCCTTGAATTGAATCGTAAATCTAAGACACCAAAACAAATAAATCATAACTATAATACATTTTTTATCAAATTTCTCAAACATACGTGACGACCTCTTAAGTTTTATAAAAGACATTTGTATAATACATATTATGTCCCGACGAAGACAGTTCAAGTCTGATTGCCAAAGAAAATTGAATATATATATTTTTTTACGTTTTTAACGTAAAAGAAAATGTGGTTAGACGCACTGACGAGGCTACATCGGTTGGTTAATTCGAACAAAGAATACGAAAATTTAACCAGTACTCGTAGCCGTGGATACTGTAGAAGGATAATGATGTTGTGTTTTAGTAAGTAATAATTATGTTTTGTTAGGGTCCTGGATATGAACCCAGGAATACACTTTTTCAATAGACAAATGTAAAAATGGCTTTCTTATCACTTTGATAAGTGTAGTAAACCCTTTGTTAGGCTACCAATCAACGGGTCGTGGATTCGATCCCATACTGCATTCCAACGTGTTTCTAATGAGTTTTATAATTTCTCTGAAACATGATAGATTTCGTGTGGAAATCTGGATATTAAATGGATAGGAATATATAAATTACGTCCGGATTACGAATCACCGCCTGCAAATAAAAAAGCCGTCAAGTTTAATACCATTTCGGTTTTAGTCTGTGCGTTTCTGAATATCCAAAGCCAAATTAGATCAACAGTGCGTCTTGTTTAGATGTTATATGTCGGGGCTATGCTTGTTTGTCCTCCTCTATCATAAAAAAGTTCATAGAACAGACATATTCTAATATCTCTCTATTGATTTAATTTCCAAATAAGTAAAACTTAGCTCTGCCCGACCGAAACTAGTTATTGTGTTTCCCCAGAAAACGAACCGAGGACCTCTTGCGATAGAAAATTAATAATTGGATCAGTGCTGTGAAAACGAATTGTATTTAAATGACATTTAGATTTGAATTTGAATTATCTCAATAAATTCATATTTTTATCAATAAGGAAATCAATTTTTGAGATAAACTGTAAGTTTTATTTATCTGATAAATGTGAACATCAAAATGAATCGTAAATTTCTTCGCCGAGATTGTATATAATATGGTGAGTTATCATTACGTGAACCGCAGTATTACTACTTGAAGCCAGCGTACAAAAGTCCGACTAGTGTATATTAAGACTATCTGTGTCAACGACTTCGTCCGCGTCGAATACTTTTTTTGGGCATCCAATTTTGTTTTTGAAAACCTCTACATCTTAATAAATTTAAGCTGCCCACGACATCGGTCGCGACCCGTCGTTCGGGTCCTGTCGTTCTTGCAAGTTAATCTTAAAAGATAGACAGGCTGTGGACAATCTTTTAGATCATTTAAAGAGGAATCATTATTTCGTATATTTTTTTGGGTATCTTTAACCGTTTTCGCAGCGTACGCATCAGAAACCCACAGAGATGAAAAATTTCCCTCGTTTTGTTCGTATTTCCCGCTGTATCTTCTCGTGTAGTCACAGCGCGATGCAAATGGTCTAGCCAACACAAAAATATTTTTTCAATTCAAATCCGTAGTTCCTGAGATTAACCCGTTCAAACAAACAAACTCTATATAAACAATGAAATCCAATAAGTAAATATATATTTCTAATCTTTAAGCAGTAATTAAATATTGTCCGACCTTTAAAATAAGATTTATGTTATTTTATTTGCTTTCTTCTCTATCTTTCTTCTTTACGTTTACTTATTAACTTTTTAAAGAAAAAAAGCATAGTATTTTTCTAAAGTGACAAACGGTAATGTTAGGCCGCAGTTAATTTAAGGAAAGATTGGCATAGAATATGTTATTTCTAATGTTATCGTTAACTATCGCCGATACGGATACGAGTATAACAAATTATTAATAAATCGATTATTAATAAAACAATCGATTATTGGTAACAATAGTGAATGCAATCACAGCCTGATAACGCAAAGGCAATTAATGATTGTGGTGTTCCTACTGTAACGTAACGGGTTATAATCGACTAGTGATTAACATGTAGTCCTGGATTCGAAACAGAGTGGCGTCTTATGTTTGAGTACCGCTCTGCTGCTCAATTCAGCTAATGGAGACAAAACTTGATTATGATTCGAAATTCAAAAATTAAGTTTATTTTTGACACACTTTAAAACTCCTATATTATTTTCCAAATTTCCTTATTTAATTAATTTTAAATATTTGGGTCCCTATGTATTATAGTTTAGATATACTATATTTTAGGTTCCTTTCACATCCAATTTCAAGGTAAATCTTTCAAATTACTGCGATCAGACTATGAAGCCTTACCTTTCATACCATGCTCTTCTCTCCATATTTAAACTCTTTATAAAATTTCCTTCATCTAGTAAAGTCACTATCTATTTATTTTAAATATATTTAGTCCCTTCTTTAAGTTAGTAAAATTAACCTTTTTAGATCTGTATGTTTTTATTTTAATTCTGTGTTTTTTTTTTTTTTTTATATTATTTATTTTTTATTAATTTTTTCTACTTAATTCAATTTCTTAAATTTCATAACTAAGGTTGCCTGGAAGAGATCGCTTTTAGGATAAGGCCCCCATTTTCAAGTATATAGGTTAATTTTAATATTTTTATTTTTTTAATAAAGAATAAATAAATAAATAAATAAATAAATATTATAGTTGTGTGCTCAATTAGGGACAGTAATAAAATTGAGTCTCTTGAGTTGATCTCTAGTTTTTTTTGGTTTGTCGTTAAGCCGCGCAGGCGTTATAGCTATGGAAGTGTTTAAATTAGACTTTAATATTTTATTAATTGTTACAGGTTAAAGGAAATTCAGCAAAATGTATAAAATAGTGATTTTCATCCTTACGGTTTTGTGCACAGCTGTCCATGCGGTTGAAGACTTTAGTAAGTTTTATTTATATACTTATAAAATATAACAAAAATGATGTTTTTATTTTAGCTAAGCTATAGAACATCACGTACAGTTTGCTATTCGTAATTATTCGCATACTTAAATATATTTAAACTAAGCTACTACCACTTTGGCTATTTGCATTGTCAGAGGTCAAATAAGTACCAGTTATTTTAAACACAACAACAAAATTATTTTAAAATAAATGTTCTTAAATACTGTTTGTAGTTTACGAGTAGTACATAATTAAATAAAACACTTTAACGGTTTAAAACGCGATATATTTTAGTTAAACTTGTTTGTAACATTCGTGCAAGGCGTATTACCGACCCCGGAATAACGACGTTTGGGGGGCCTTCCCGAAAAAAAAGGGGAAAAAAAAACCACATCCGAAACGTCGGGCCGTAGTTAAAAATAATTTTCCAATGAGTTTACCTAAAAAATATTGCGTTTTAACCCATTCAAGTGTTTTATTTAAAAAAAAAATTTTTCCCCTTTTGTTTTCCCCAAAAAAAATTTTTTTTTTACCCAATATTTTTTTTTAATTAAAAAAAAACCACCCCCCCCTTTAAAAACAAAAAAAAAAACACTTTTTTTTTTTTTTTTTTTTTTTTTTTTTGTAATCCGCGGGTCGGTAATACGCCTTAAACTGAATAGTTCAATGCTTTGAGAGGGTAAAAAAAAAAAAATAAAATATACTTTATTCTCTTTAAAATTAAAAAAAATATATTTTGTAATATTATGTAAATACAGTGTTACAGTGTTTCAGAGTTACTTCGCCTTTATAATATTAGTGAGTTCTATAAAAAATACGATACATCCGCACAAATTTTCATCCCACATTCAACCCTTTACTATCTTTTTTTCGTAGAGCAAAATTCGTTTTGTATGTATGTGTTCATGTAACAATGTATGTGTTCGAAAAGGGCGTATACAAGGCAGCCAATCTGTGTTGTAAGTGCTACTTTGCCGCAACACTCCCACTGTCACCTCTACACTCACTCCCCCTCTCACTCCCATTCCCAAAGGGCCAAAGAAGAAAGTTTCATTGTTCAGCTTCAAAAATCGAATCTCTAGTCAAACCTTTCCCCCTTTTCAACCCCTAACAACCCTTTTTTGGCATTGAAAGCTTATGTCCTTTCTCAGGCTTTAGAATATCTGTGAACCAAATTTCATTTCAGTAGTTCAGTAGTTTCAGCGTTCAAGCCGAACAGACAGATAGAATTACTTTCACATTTATAATATTAGTATAGATGTAAAAAAACGTTTTTCCGTATAGTTAATTATACAACATATACTCATATATACTATGCTAGTGTAGGTCTATCTTTGTTGTATGGAAAAGATTATCCTCAATATTCAAAATCATATGTAATTAGAATAAATATTATATATTATAATAGATATTCTTCTTGTAAAGTTTTCCATTCCATTTCATTCATTTAATTTATTTACAAGCAATTAGTTGATCAGACTTTTGTGCCGGAACAATTGATTGATTCTCCGGAGTTCAAAGCCAGGATCTCTCTTCTTCAGCGTAGTTGTTAACAATTTCGCCGTAAAAACGGGCCAACGGCAGCATACTAATAATCCCTTAACGTCGATTCCATGTCAAACATTTGAAAAGCTAACTAACACTGGAAGAGTTTTCGATTCAGATCTGTATTTAAATATATTTATTTCAACGGTCTAAAACGCGCCATTTATTAGCTAAGTTTAAGCATTGCAAGTTGAAATGAGTTAAAAAGTTAAGGTGTTAACTACCGGTGATAAAATACTGCCTATAGTTTACGCGAGTAGTACACATTTATATGATTATGTGATAATTTTACCAAAAAACTTCTGGGATTATCGCGTTCAAACGAACTCTACGGCTTAATAATATTTGTATAGATGGATTTGCATAAAGCTACCGAAACTACGAACGATTTGTAATTATCGTTTCCATTTCATAAAGAGAAGTTGTTAACTATGGCTGGACACATGGTATGGACACGTTTCAAAGGAAAATAATTATTTTACCTGTCAATAGTAATCGATATTACTGAATCCTGGATTTCGTTTGCTTCGTGTTCTATTGTATTTACCGTATACGAAACTAAGCCCTGGAAGTAAATTAATAAATGATTCGGTTGTTTCAGAAACAAACTACTTGATATTTTGGTCATCATATTAAGTATTTATTTTCGCAAACGACCTCCTTACCTTTATAAATGAACTACCTGTTACCCACGACATCAACTGCGTCTCGTCCTTTTTTTAAGTTAATCTAAAAAAAATTAACATATACCTATTACTGTCGCAGATTTTTCGCTTAATGATCCCATTTAACTTTCATATATTTTTTGGGTTTGTTAAACTGTTTTGCCGCCCACACCCCAAAACCCCCCAAATAAATATTTTTTTTCCCAAAACCAATATAATTTTTAGAAAAATTAATTAGGATCGAATTCTTTTGCCCGTTTAAAGCCCTAGAAAGATTTTTAAAAAAGGGAAAAAACTGGGATTTTTTTTTTTTTTTTTTTTTTTTGGGGGGCCCCCCCCCCCCCCCCCCCCCCCCCCCGGGGGGGGGGGGGGGGGGTGGCCCCCCCCCCCCCCCCCCCCCCCCCCCCCCTTTCCCCCCCTTTTTTTTTTTTTTTTTTTTTTTTTTTTTTTCCCCCCCCCCCCCCCCCTGCGTTGTCTAGTACGTTGCTACCATTAGACCGACCAGCTCGTCAAAATGCCATTCAAACACTATTCCATCAAGACATGTTCTGAACTTATTCAGAAATTTACCATAGGAACCATCCTTGTACTTAAATTATCATCTTTGGGTTCGTTCTTGCCAAGTGCGGTTAGCAACATATTATATATTGCGAGTTAAACAATCAGAAACCCAGGTGGTCTTACAAATAAATATCTTCGGTCGATAATAAGTAACACATTGAGGAAATATTATTCATTTTATCTTTAGCCTTGTTGTAAACTAGTTGTCTTAGATTAGGAATGCACAAGTAAACACACTGTACTTCTTTCGTCATAATTGTTGTGCCTTGAGACAGTTTAGTTATTTGTTTTGTGAGGTAACTATTTTTTATTGACGTTCATCTTTAGATTCGAGAGAATCACGGTAGTAACTCGTTAAATTGTAAAAAAATAACCCAAAAAATTCGGTCCTTATTTTTAACTGTGTGAATCGTCAACATTATTAATCGTTTCATAATTATAATTTCATTGTGTTCTCTAATAATCTTTACTAATTTAAGTTTTTATCTTAATTGTAGCAGGCAATCATTTATATCGTATTATTATTTTGTTAAATGAATATCAGCCGGCTTTATAAACACGATACCGAATTTTGAAATAATATCTGTAAACGAAAAATATAACTGCTTGACATTATTGTGCCTTTGTATGTGCCGAATGAATATCTCCCAGAATTTGAAACTAGTGTTTTCCGTTAAAAGGCTTTTGAAGGCAAGGTGTGAAATACCGTTTCCCTTCATGGCACATGGGGCTAACACATTTCTGTGTACGTCCGCTTGATTGGTTTTATTAACAGGGAAATAGTTCATCAGATTTCTGTGCCCTGCCCGACGGAAACAATCGGTTGTTTCCTCAGGATTCAAACACAGGACCTTTAGAGCTTAACTTACTGTTGGGTAATACGTTTAACCACTTAGCTACAAAGGTAGTCTTTTAAGGCAAGACAGGCAGCTATTACTAACTACCACTTATTTCAAAATGTAGTCAAACTTTAAAGATTTTTTTTTTCAAATCAGAAATCAATTATTGATTTATGTAAAAAAATATGAAATTAAGTACATGTATTTAAAACATTTGAAAACGCTGTTGCTGTATTGTATATTTTGGAGACTAAGTTGACGGAGGTCTAAAACGAAAAATTCGTACGCGTAGTAAATAAAAAATAATAATGGATTATAATGCGATAGATAACACTAATGTAACAATGTGTAAAAGCCCTAGCACAGTCATATCACATTTCTGCTTTCGGACGTGGGGCGAAGTAAATTCTTTGTCCGTATCGCCTTGTCCGACCGGAACGATATATAGTGTAACTTTGATTCGTACTCAGGACCTATCGTGGGTAACGGAATGTTACGATTGAGCTATTTTATATAACCATTGAGCTACAAAAGCGTTCACATACTCTATTTAATGTCTGAATATATCTAGTGACGCATCTGTTTTTATTATCTTTGAGTCTGTAAACAGCCGATTAAGTGGTCGCTTCTGACAATTATGTATTTTGTTCTTGGTCACGACTTTCGTGATAACGATTATGATTGCTACGTTAGTAGTGAATATTCAATAGACCGCCTCTATAGCTTCGTGGACTCTTGAGTTCGCGGGTTCATGTCCCGGGAAAAATATATGTTCGTTGTAAGATTATTTTTGTTATTGAGTTTGTCTCCAGATATATAATGTGCATAATTTATTGCACTCGATGGCACTATATATATCGATATATAATCGATTTTTAATTTATATGTTTGGTTTTGCATCGTCATATAGGCGTAGTAAACAAACAAGTGCGTATCTGAGTGCTTTAATTATTTTAATTAAATAACTTTATTTTTTAACAGACGCAAGCAGCGAAGTGTTATACTTAACAATAACAAACAAAAATGGTGAAGAGGTGTACATAAGCGAAGACCTGATGCGGAAGTTGAATAACGAATTGGAGACGTGGCACTGGACTCCGTGGCTAAAGACCAGGACGGCGGTCTTGGAGAAGTATGTCACCGAAGTCAATTGTCTTAGTGGAGACTCGATTAGCAGTTTTCCAGATGGACCATTTAATGGTATGTTTTTTGAGATCCCCGTATCAATAAATACATTTTTATAACTATCGATGCGAACGAGACCCGAATCCACTATTGGGGTAGTTTTATTAACTAAGCAGCAGCAAGAATCGCTTTGGGGTTCAGGATCATGGTTTTACCTTTATATTATTTTATGAATATTTTTTGACGCAATCCGTCATCGTTATGGCTAATAATAAACAGGTCGAAGGTTCGATTCTCATTGGGTCCAACATTCATCTAAACAATTATAATTTTTCTGAAAGTTCTTTGACTTTGTGTGAATCAGACGATCCACGAATTATTCTGAAATATTTTCTATGTAAAACTCACCGTGTAGCTGAAAACCCAGTTTTGAAACTTTCATCATCACAAAAAGGGGGGGGGGGGGCGGTGTTGATAGTATTCTAAACATTTATACATATTTATAGCCTGATGGGAAATATTGTAGGCTTCAAAGTTTAATTTGACTAGTCTATTGTTTTTTGCATTTTTAACAAACGCACTAATCCCATTTGATGCACGCACTCCGAAATAATTCCACCCGTCTATGCGTGCAGACGTACGTTTAAAAGCCGTAAATAAAATTAAACGATGGAGATTTAAGAGGATCAATATTGGAAACTATGTTTATTGCACAAATGAATTGACGCAATGCATTTCGCTAAATTAATCCCCCTTTGTAAGGATTTTCGTAGACTACTTCGTTCGCAATCAGGTGGGAGAGCTGTAAAAGCCTTCCATTAATAAATTACATAATAATATTTTCCCATTTCAAATATTACATATTATGCTTTAAAACACATTGCTTTTAAATTGAACGTATTTAATATGTTTCACTGATTGACGTTTTAAAGAGTTTTTATACATTTGATTTTTTAAATCATAGATAATAGTGGGATTCATTTGATGGTGGGAAATATATGCCTATAGCATTTAAACAAGATGCACCGTCGACCGACTTTGGCTTTGAATATTCGGAAATCCACAGACTGAAACCGCAACGCGATTAAGCTTAACGGCTTTTTCGTCTGTGGACTGTCAAAAAATTCGAAATTAGAAACACGTTGGACTTTGTGGGGATCGAAAGCACGACCCGGTGATTGTTAGCCATAAATTGCTACCATTAGACGATCGATCGCAAGTCGTCTTTTGCTTATCTTAACTAAATAAAATTGAGACATGCTGGGATGCGTACATAAAGCTACATACAGAGATAAACAGTTTAACAGATTGTAATTTAAAAAAAAAAATAATACGCGTATAATTAATGCACATTTTCCCTGAATATCATGATACTATATTCGTTTTACTTCGACTGAAACAAAACCGAGAATCGCAGCCGGGACGTGTATCACAAGGCAAAGACTTTATTTGTTTAAACATGGAAAAGGTTTTAATTATATGCCTACTGTGTTTATTTCAAAGTTGGAACAGGCTGTCCAAATCGTATATTTTATTATAGTACTAGCGGCCCTGTCCCGGCTTCGCACACGACGACGACAACGACCATAAAACACTAAATTAGAAAAAAAGTATTGCGCGTCCTAATTATTAACAACCTGCGAGCGTTCAGTGTTAGAGTCCCGTGCACGCATTCGCGAATTCCTAGCTCTATTTCCTTCAAGTCGCTGCGACGATCTTGAATTTTGTTCTGCAAGACGAAACTGAACAATCGACGCTAGATTCTCTGGCTCGCAATTGGGACGCGTTCAATTTAACACTTTCCAGACGATCATTTTAGGAAGAATATGTAATATTCTTAGATGGGTGCGACCTTCTTCTTTTAGGCATATTGCTATGAAGGATTTCTCTAATTTAAAATAAACATATTTTAAATCAGAGAAATTAAGAATAAACTAATAATAATACAAAATAAAATGAATATTTTATTTTGAACTATAGAACTATCACTTTGAACTTGAATAAGTTCAAAGTGATAGTTCTGAAAATATTATGCAAAGTGTGATTCCTAATACTAAAACTAAGTAGCTCTGAAAAGAACTTTTTAAGTGGAGCATAAAAATGTTTAAAAAACAACTCGAAATATTCATTGTCGTTCGCGCCCGCTGCGTAAGGAGCCCACTGCCCCTCTATCGTCGAATTAGTGACTCGATGCGAGGCGTGGCGGCCGCCGCCGGCATTTATTTTTATTTTTTATTTTCATGATATCTTTTGAATGGCACGTCCGATTTCAATAATTAAAGTAATCTTTAGGTATTGAGACAGTCTTGAAATGTGATTTATTTGGATAAAAAATTATAAACGGTATAGATAACACTTATATATTATAATAGGCATTGTAGTAGTTATAGCGACGTAGCTACAATAGTTAGACATATTCTCTCGCGATGTTTTTTGGTAGATATTGATATATTCTATAATATTGTGGAACATTTTTTTGTTCTATCATTAATATTTTTCGCAGCGTATGCGAAGAAAGATATTTTACGACTATTTTTTTACGCCTTCCGTTGGTTTTAGTAAGAATGTCTATAGATGCCTATAGTAATCAAGTACTAAATATTGCCTATGTTACTCAGGGATAATGTAGCTTTCTAATGATAAAAGAATTATTAAAAGCGGTCCAGTACTTTTTGAGTTTATCCGTTACATACAAAAATACAAATCTTTCCTCTTTATCATATTAGTATAGATTTATCGCTTCCGTCTGTATACGTATTACTTGTGCAATACATATTAGATCCTCTTTTCATCTGACATTCGCAAAATTCAATATTATTATGGATACTTCATATCTTAACGGAAATGGAAACGAACTGTAAATTTGTTTTGATTGCAAACCTTTGATGTAAAGTATTACAAGTTTTATTTCCACAACATGACGTTTTGATCTTCACTTTGAATAAGCGATACATGAGCTTTTAGTAATCTTATTCTGGAAGAATAGAAAAATTTAGTTATTAAAATATAATATAATTAAAACGTTAACTAAAAACACATATTAAATATGTGACTTTAGTTCGTGAGGTCAAGAGTTCGATTCGTATTCGTTCACCATACTAATAATTGGTCACAATAGACATCGGCCGCTTCAGCTCTATTATCAGCTAGTTCTCGATAAACGAAATAAGAACTGTTTAATGTGAACCATTCTTAAGTTTATTACAATAACGTAATTATAAATAACATGCCCTTACTTTTTGCCAGCAATTTAGTCTGTTAATGCCCACAGCTCGGCCACTATCTCTTTCGATATAAGAAATGAAACTATGGCATAGCGTGCTCTCCAAATAGTGAGAAGACAGTTTCTAATTTAATACAAATTGAAACTAGACTAGATTAGAAAAAATCAAATAATGAACGAGTATTCCACATAACCCGGTAATTGAAGCCGGGACTCCTAAAGCGCTATTAGAAAACCTTTTGTGTGAATGGCTAAATTCAAATCGTACTACAACAGTCAACATCAATCGTTTGCAAGTTATGTTTTCATAGACATAACTCATCGATTTTGCAACGCAGGTAACCCCTTTTACAAAACATACGTATAAATGATAATATGAAGCTGCTAGAGGCAAAGTAGAGCCAGCAAATTTATGATTTGAGTGATTTATATTTTATACTCTAAAAATGTTATTCTACAAGAGCACAGTGGCCGAAGATTGTTGACATAATACTTAAACAAATAATAGTACAAATTCATTTTCGACTAGTTAATTGCGCATTTTTATTTTTCTTGTCATTGAAAATTTTATTAGGCCACTCTGCCTCTAGCAGCCCTCTATAACATAGTCTATACCAATGTTTTATACTCTATAGTAAATAGTCAACATCGAATATCGTACTAACAATGAATGATCTGTAATTGTTCGTGTCTCCTTAGAGCACATTTCTGTTCCTGTTTTACTAATCGCTTTTAAGGTACGTCGAGAAGACTTAAGTGCCCTACCCAATCGAAAGTTTTTATTTCCCTCGCGCTGGACGCGTTGCTAGGCAACACGGTTAACAATATGTGAACGATAACATGTCTAGAATTCGATTATTTCTATCTGACAGGGCACAGAAGGATCAACTACATGTACGTAAACAAATCTATCATGTGTGTGTGATAGAGACAGAAATATGTTCGCCCCATACCCCACAGGGTGAAACGGGATTTAACTTTATATATCAACTGTGATGGGTGGCATCACTACCTACACTTGTAGCTGGATTAGATTTTTTTATCAAGATGTTAAATTATCGACAAGATAAAAAGCTATGAGGATCAAAATCTTTATTTATTTGGAAAACAATTAAATCATCAATCAAACTAATCCCACGAAATGCACTTAAATTATGATTATTAAATAAATCAATTTATATGTACATTTAAACACCGCCTTTATGTTATCGCCGCCGTATATCGTGTTTAAACATATTGCTAAATATAGAGATCGTGATTTTATCTATTGAATTTTAAATGAGTACTTTTAATTACTTTAAATCACCACGAACCAACGTCGACTGCGTACAAGAGTATTATTCAACTTAGGGAATGAACAAAATAAAAATAAGCAAACAACATATACGAATAATACGTATAATATTATGTTAAGAGGCATCTCACCTTCTTAGCAGTGAATAACGTGCTTGATACGGAAAACACAAGTGTATAAAATTATTCTACTAGGACCGAAATTCCGTTTTCGTTATCTCTGTTATCTGCGTAATTATCAAAGTAATAATTAAAATATATGGCGCATATCGGTCGATTGTCTTTCATTCTCGTTTTGGAAAATTTAATACTGTGTCGGGAAGGCTCTCATTGATCATTTGTCGATGATAACTTAAGACGCAGTATGTTGAACCGTCATCCACAGCGATTCGTGTTGTTGCTCTAACCAATTGAGCTACCGTGTCCTACTCGTCATCGCCGAATTTTTTCAATCTATTAATATATGCACATCTCGCGCAATATTGTCTGCTACCCGTTAGTTATCTGTCAGTGCAGCCAAAACTGCAAGGAGGAGAGTTTGGACTAAGATTATATGACTTAGATTCTTTCGTTAAAACTGCATTGATGTTTACAAATGTTCTTAGTTATTCAAATAATTAAATGAATTATTAAGATAAAGTACTTTTATTATTTTAAAAATGAATAATGACGTTTAAACAAAATCTCTTTTAGACGGTTTTATTTAGCTCGACCCGTGCGGAATTTATTTATTTGGGTCAAATAAGAAATTGAAATTTAAGCACCTTCCCATTGTCAGATTGATCTGACATTTTGTATCCGCATAATTTTTATACGCATTTAATTTATATGACAATACAATATAATAAAATTAAAAATATTATATATCCAAAATGGCCGCCAAAACAAAATGGCGGAATACATATTTTTCCTTCACCCCCTCAATATGGGTATCAAATGAAAGGGCTACACTAGGAAAGCACGATGATTATGTCAAAATTTTAAATTTTATGTAGTTTTCAGTGCACAAAAAATAAAAGCGATAAACTTAAAAGTTTTGATACTTGTTTGTAGTTAGGCTTACCTCAAATGTCTTATTAATACATTGATATTTTTCTTTAGATGAGCAACTGCGCAGTGGCGGATTCATCCTATATATGCTGTTCGGTGCCTACGCGTTCACCCTTTTGGCGATTGTCTGTAACGACTATTTCATACCTTGTGTGGAACTTATATGCGAAGACTTGAAGATACCTCAAGTAAGTAGAAATTCATAAATAAACTCGGTGGCCTAGCACACGTTCTTTTGGCATATGCGTAGAATAATTTATTAGGTTTTTTAATGAACCAATAATTATTTTTTGCACATTTGTTCGGTATCTTAAACTGTTTTCTCAGCGGACGCGAAACAATGCCTCTTAGATAAATAATCCCCATTTCGCACTCCTCTACGTTTCTGCGCTCCTACTATTCCTAGTCTAAAGCCTTTCTTAATAAATAGTCCAACCAACACAAAAACTTTTCAATTCGAACCTGTAGTTCCTGGGATTAGCGCATTTTATAATTAGTTAGTATAGAGTAAAGCCAAACACATCTGCTGTCTCGTTGGTTCAGTGGTTAATCCACTCGAATGCAGATTAGGAGGTAGCGGGATCGAATTATTAAGTTTGGAAGTATAATCACACTCGTTAGAGAGCTGAAGCAGCGTAGAGCTAAGCCCTTGAAATTATATACCTAAAGTGATTTGTGCCCAGAGGTGGGATATTTATGAACTGAAACAAAACACACTTAACTTCATTAAATTACATTATTCATCATATTTGAATATACACCATAGAAATATAATTAGTGTTTTTTTTTTCAATTATAACAATGCCAGTTGTTCCGCGGGTTTTATCTAGCTTATGTGTAAAACAATGACCTTCTTATTGACTCAATTAACTTTAAGTTGTAATTATGTGTAATTATTACCACATTTAAAATAATTCTATATTACACGTATATCTAGAAAAAGCTGGCAACACATTTCATAAATGAGGTCTTAATTATTTTTTAATGTCAAACAACATTACCTTCATTCAATAAGATGGCGTCAACAAGATTATATTTGTTAGACTAATTTTGGAAATACCGCATCCATCTAAACGTTTAAACGTATTGTAACACGCGACAATTCTTGGGTTCGAATCCCAGGAAGATATAATAGATATTGCACAGAAGTGAAGTTTAACTTCTTGCTTGATTACATAAACAGACAGAGTTGGTCTGTCCCACATTAAACTATAATTTGTGTTAAAATAAAAAAAACGTATTAGACTTTTGGTTTTAAACGGTTTCATTTAAATATATACTACACTCGTGAATAACACACATTATTTGCTTTAGACCAGTTGTATTCCAGGTACTATTAGAGTTATATGATACTAAAAATAAAAGTTTCTTCTTATAACATTAGCTTATGCACCTTATATATAGTTTTATTCCAAATAAAAAGGCTATCTAACACTTAAATGACTGTTCAAATCGACCTAGTAGTTTCTGAGATTAGCTTGTTCAAACAAACAAACAACCTCTTCAAATACAATTTACCAATTGAAAACTAATAAGTGCGATAGCCATACTCGAAGGATAAGGAAAATAGTAAAATATTGTTGCAATTAGGAAAACCTTTGTGTTTACCTCTAATGTTAAATTAATTCGTGTAATCATACGTAAAGTCCATCTTATTGCATTTTTTGTATGAAAAACATATTATGTCTAGTAAGTAAGACCGTTTCTCCCAAGCGCCAGCGTTGGGTAAAACACATCGCCATGTTAGTTTCACAAATAGATTAACTACTATTATTATTACTTGACAGAAATAAAATATTATGTTTAAATGGGATGCAAACTTAGAACTAGGCGCAATGCTAGGCGATATGCCCATTGAGTTAGTGAAATAAAGACTGATAAATTAATTTACCATTTTTAATATAAATTTCATAATGAAATACAATAATGCCGAGTTTGTGGTTTTAAATATTTTTGTAACAGACGTAGTAATTGATAATGAAGAATGAATATCAAATCAACAATTCGAAATCCGAATTAAACTTTTTCGATGTATTTTACGTAACTATCAGGTACGTTTATTTGAACAACAAAACGGTTTATGTCAGACATCGCAAACCTCAAATGTCGACTATTAATTTATTACATTAAGGTTCATTTTTAAATGTTGCATATTAAGCATACATGGTTGAGCATTTTATTTAAATTTCAGTGTCGATGTCTTTAATGTATATTCTTCATATTACAATGTTTAAAAATCGTTTTTACTCATAGATATTCATTTATGATAGAACAGGAGAGACAAGCAAAGGGCTTACTCAATTGAAGTTAAAATACCCCAGCCATAAAACATCTGACAAGATGCGCTGTCGTCCTATTGTGGCTTTTGATATTCTGAAATCCACAGAAACGCGATTAAACTAGACGGCTTTTGTATCTGTGGACGAGGGATTGTGACCCGGGTGAAATTTCGAAATACTGAATAATAAAGTATTGTCTTCTTTCACAGAACGTGGCAGCTGCAACGTTCATGTCAGTGGCTACATCTTGCCCGGAGTTCTTCGTCAACGTAATTTCGACTTTCCTCACGGAATCCGATATGGGCATCGGGACCATTGTAGGTTCAGCTATTTTCAATATACTGGGCGTCGCGGCAATAGGGAGCATCGCCGCTGTCTCGGTAAGAATATAACTTCAAAACTATAATGACAATAATTCTCTTGAATTAAGGAAAAATTCTAACCAATAACATCTTCTTAATAATTTCAGTTTCGGTTCAGTAAATACAATTATGAAAAACTAAACGTTGTCGAGAAACGGGATAGATAGATAAACTGCACACTAATCTTTTTTTTATGATAGAGTAAGGAGACAAGCATCTAAACATCTAAGCGCTAATAAGCATCTAATATGCGCTATTCTCCTTTTCGTCTTTGAATATTAGGAAATCTATAGACTGAAACGTAACGCGATCAAACTTTACGGCTTTTTAGAAACTACATGAAATCACTTTAAAAATACCTGTTACTTAAAGTAACTCTTTACAGACAAACTAGCGGGCTAAAACTAGTCTTCATTAAATTACAGAGTCTGAACCACAAACGCGGTGATGGTCACTATTAATTATAACAATTGAATTATTCTATTAACTTGATTCAATTATTTTATTACATAAATTCAATAACATATTTCACTTCTAGCCAATAACGATTGAGCGGCGCCCGGTGACTAGAGATGCGTTAATCTACATGGTCAATGTCAGCATTCTGGTCGCGATCGTATGGGACGGCCAAGTGGTGTGGTACGAGGCCCTGATACTTGGCCTGCTGTATATCCTGTACTTTTTTGTCATGTTCAACAGCATGCGACTATTTGCATTGTATGACAAGATCGTGGCGTCATGCTGCAGAAGTCCTGTCTGTAAGTGTTTTTAATCTCCAATTCTAGCCTAAGAAAAGTATAACTCTTAACTTAGTACAGAAAACCTTGAATATATAGTTTTTATTATTATCTATAAATATATAATATAATAAAGCTGAAGAGATTGTTTGTTTATTAATCTTTAAGATTAACTTGCAAGAACGACGGGTTGCAAAGGGCGTCGTGGGCAACAGCTTGCGTTTTTAACGATGAAGTTCACATAAACAAATTGACGCCCAAAACTACTTTCCGCGGACGATGTCGCTGCCACAGCTGGTTATTATAATATTACATCAATCTCCTTTTATCGGTTTTTAAAAAAGAAGACAATATTCTTGCAAATATCTACTAAAAGAACATGACAAATATCTCGCCGTTACTTCAGAATTTAAATTTCCACTCGTGAACGTCAGAAAATGTAAACAAAGAAACCATACAAATTTAGAAGGTCTCAAAACAAGGGCTTTAATTTACATTCATTTGATCTGATTGTTAAAACATTATCTTTCGATAATTACGATATGTAAGTGGATGAATGAACAAGACTTTGATAATACATATATTCATTTCGTGATTTAATTTTTTATCGACAAACAAAACTATTTTATATCATATAGTCGTACTAATAACATTTAATAGACTGTATTGTTTGAAAGATCAAATCGTTCGTAAGAGAGAAATCCCGTTTCCCCCGCGTAAGGCAGCCAAGTTACATCGATCGATTTAATATCAAAGCCAACAACTTGTTGGTTAGATTTATTTATTTATTGAGGAAGGTGAAGGTGAAATTTGAAAAAAAGTTCCCAATTTTTTTCAAACAGTTCAATATACTCAAATAATATGTATGAAAAAAGGATTAAAGGAAAAAAATCCTCTTTGAATGATCTAAAAAAAAGTCCACGACGCAAGAACGACGGAAATAGTCGCGACCGACGGCGTGGGTAATAGAAAAGTTAGGTAACAGTTTCATTTGCAAAAACAAATTTGGATGCTCAAAATAGCAATTCTCGCGGATAAACTCGCTGACAAATCAAATCAAATAAATAATTTTAATTTAGGCCCGAGAGATTTTTAATAATCATGTAGACTATTTGATCCCTCCTGCAGCTCAGTGGTTAAACGTCATGGTTTCGAATCCCGGACACAATTTTTCTATCGGTAACGCAACAGATGAACAAGACAGATACAAAAATGTGTTCGCCCCCATGATCCAGGAGAAAATATATAGATACAAATAATAATAGTCAGACAACAAAAAGAAAACATTTTATACAAATTTTCCTTGTCTTTTGTAGGTATGAACGGTGTTAAATAGTTTTAAAAAATGTTAATTTACATTTTATCAGATAACACAATTAAAGCCTATCTTTTAAGCTTGAGACGCAATAAATCAGCTTTTGTTAAAATAAATGTGGTCTGTTTTAAGAATACAGAACCAGTCGTGTCTAAATCGAATATTGGCGAGCTGGTTTGTCCATCTGATTACCCCAAATTGTCACACCGATTTTAATAACAAGCAAGAAGTTTTTGGATTATTTATTCTGAATTCTGTGATAACACTTATTAAAAAACAAATTGTGATCATAGATAATAAATACAATTATTCGTTCGGAATGTTTCTGTTTTCGGGACTAATTTTCACATTTAATAAAACATTTGTAGCGCTTTAGAACGTGATGAATATATAAACCGTTTTATTTAAGTTACCCTACGTACTCGCTAGCAAATAAATACAAAATTCTGATCTTGTCGTATAATTCAAAGCCTATTTTCCAATCGATGTTAGTACTTCAATAGGATTCTATACCAAACGATGTTCGTAGAAAATCCCATGTCCAAACGCACATGTTTGTATTGGTTGCTACGTTTTGCAGTATCGTTAATACAATATGTACTATTCTACCTATTTGTAGTTCAACATATTGTGTAATGTTTACTTGAGTACATTAAAAAAAATTATCCATACTGTTCGGTATTTCGACGATTGTCTCTACGTCTAGACTATGATTGTTCCGGCCTTCTATTTCATCGTACGGTTATTAAACCGTTTAATTTGCTAGATTGAGTAAACTAGGTATTTATGAAATATCGTTCACCTGGTTCATTGGGGCCGCTTCTGTAGTCAAATGGTCAAACGTATTGCCTAGCATTGCGAGAAATTGTTTCGGTCGGGCAGGGCACAGAAGTCTGATCAACTACTTGCCCGTTAAAAGAACGGGTCCGTGGAACGGGCCCCGAAATTTTTTCCCCCCCCCCCCCCCCGGGGGGGGGGGGGCCCCCCCCCCCCTTGGGTTTTTTTTTTTTTTTTTTTTTTTTTTTTTTTTTTTTTTTTTTTTGTTTGTTTTTTTTTTTTTTTTTTTTTTTTTTTTTTTTTTTTTTTTTTTTTTTTTTTTTTTTTTTTTTTTTTTTTTTTTTCCCCCCCCCCCTCCCCCCTTTTTTCCTTTTTTTTTTTTTTTTTTTTTTTTTTTTTTTTTTCTCCCTTTTTTTTTTTTTTTTTGTGGGGGGGGGGTGGGGGGGGGGGTTTTTTTTTTTTTTTTTTTTTTTTTTTTTTTTTTTTTTTTTTTCCCCCCCTTTTTTTTTTTTTTTTTTTTGGGGGGGGGGGGGGGGGGGGGGGGGGGGGGGGGGGGGGGGGGGGGGGGGGGGGGGGGGGGGGGGGGGGGTTTTTCCCCCCCCCCCCCCCTTTTTGCAGTCTACTAGAGCAATTTTTTTTCAATATAAATTCAATCTTTAATATTAATGTGTTTCTTTTCTAGATATCGTGACTACATTTGAGAAGCCAATTGAAGAGGGTATCACTGAAAAGCCTTATTCAACGGAGAACGGGAATGTTGTTAATGAGAAAATGAAAAATGAAAAAGGTATAATATTTATATCTATTCTTATATTATATTGTGACTAGATGTCCCGACTTACCCCCTTATTTCCTACATTTTACGTCTGTGGTCATCATACCTATCAATCACTTATGTACCTCTTACACGATGTAATATCGACCTTAATTCTTACATAATAAGGTTTGATATCTGTTACTTTCTGAGAGTAATAAAACTTATCGGAAATTAGAATACATTTCCAACTGCTGTGATTTTTGGCAACACTCACGTGTTGATTATGTAATATAGAAATAATAGTAGTTGATTTGTCGTACACAGACTATGGTAAACCAAAAGTTATTTTTTGTAATGTAAAATAAAATATATCAGTGAATATACCATATTATCCATGATCGATGGGTGACAAAGAGTTGGTGATAGAAAGGTCACACAAGAGTAACCATGTGTGTACATGGTAACTCACGATCATATATATTCTGTTGTTACTGCCACATTACAACAATTTAAAATTAAAGACACGAGACTTTAATTACAAGTAGGTGACAAATACGGTATTAAAGTTAACATAAATTTTTGAAAACTTTAATATTTTTCACATGTTATTGCACATGATGTTACTATATAAATCGATTATATATATTGCGCGAGAAGTGCATGTATCAATAGAGTAAAAAATTATCGATGACGTCTAGGACTCAGTAGTAGTTCAGGTTTTGCCCGAGTCGTAAGTGTTCTCAATATATAATCGACTTTTAATTTAACATACAATTGTTTCAGTTGAAGATGTACCGAAGGGAAGCATATGGCATTTCCCGAGTTCAAAGTCAGTTCTGTACAAGATGTGGTGGGTGTACAGTTGGCCATTGAAAATTGTCCTCTCTTTCACGATACCCTCACCCGTACACCACAGACGATTTTATCCATTCGCCTTCATCATGTGCATCATATGGATTGGTGGAAACTCGTACATGGTCTCGTGGAGTATGACTGTTATAGGTAAGGTCCCATAGCTGGGACAAAGCTACCATATCGGGCTAAAGCTAACGGGCTATATTTTTTATTTTTATGTCAGAGATGAACAGACAAGCATGATTGATGTTGTATAGTTTTAATATTTTGGCTTTAAACAATAAAAAATCTACAGACTTATACCATAACGCTATAACATTTTATGGCTTCACCTGTGGTTCTCATTTATTGTCCAGACGGGGCCGACATGTTTAAGCAATTTTGTATAATTGAATTTAGAAAAATGATTGACACAGTGGGATCGAACCCTTTATAGTTGGTTAAATTACGAACAAACCCGCGTGGATATTGTTGTACATGTATGCATAATCATCTGATTATAATCATTCTGTTAAAGTTGTACGAGGAAGTTCGTAAGAAATTGTCCCACTTAACCAAATGAGATGCACTTGTTTCCGAAGATAACAACATTTTACTTACACTAGGGAGATATATTGATAACGAATTGACAAGTGTTGATACTCGTAATCAATGACAATAAGCCTTACTACACGGTTGGGAAATAAAACTTGCATAGACATATTCTGTCGCAGACTTTTTTGTAGATCATTTAAAGAGGAATCATTTCATCGGAAGCCCTCGAAGATAGATAATTTTCCTTGTTTTTTCTACTATTCTATTTTTCTTTTAGAACCAGTAGTTCCTGAGATCAGCGCGTTCAAATAAACAAACGAACTTTTTAGCGTCATAATATTAGTATAGAGTTTTGTCTTTAATTAAGAATATTATAACAAATGTTTCTAGTGCGTTCTTTCTATATATTAGAATGTTTTTTTCAGGTCACACATTCTTCATTCCCGATTCAGTCATGGGAATGACATTCCTTGCATTCGGGGGGTGTTTGCCAGAAGCCTGTTCCATCTTTATTATGTCAAGACGAGGTGCGTATACGATCGTCCTTAATAAAACGCAATAACTCCACAACGACACCTAGTCGTCGTTATAAGACTACTAAATTGCCACGGACGGGTCGCGGGTTCGAATCCTCTAAACCTACTCGTTTAATATCAAAACAGTTTTTTAAGTGAAAACCTTTGTGTGGCACAGTAGACGAACAGTAGACGAACTGAATTTTCATTTCTGTGCCCGTTTTACTGATCGATCTTATTCAAGTAGGCTGTAGATCAAACTGTGCCCTGGTCGACCGAACCATATTATCGAAACTTTTGAAACAATTAAAGTGCCTAAAACTTTCCATGTTTGTTAAATATATTGCGTTTAATAATTTCTTATCACATCATTGATAAAATGATTGTCATTTAACTGTACTATTGAACCAGATCACATTTCATATTTACATTGCATATTTCGGTTGTCCCTTTGACAATCTGAGCTTTGCGAATATTGTTTATTGAGCGAATATGCAACTGCTATTTTGCGATGTATGTTTACCTCAACTGCGCAGCGCTTTGAACTTACGTACGCCATTTATTGAAAAATATAAAAACTGTTTTTCAACTTATTTTAGTTTTGTTGCGAATTCTATTTCACAAAAGCATTTTTTAATTCTGCCTAAAAGGAAAGTACTCTTAAATTAAATTAGCATTGTGTAATCCCGTTTTGTGCGTTATGGGGCAGAGATTTCTGTTTGAAATCTCTTTTGAAAAAAAGAACCTTTTCTATCAACTACTTATCTGAAGAAGTTTCTCTTTAGTAAGTGCTAGATGCGCCTGTCTAGCATAAGGTAAATGCTAGTATACCCAGATCTTTCCAACATGACTCTTGTTTCAGGTGAAGGGGGTATGGGCGTGTCTAACGCGCTCGGCGCTAACTCGTTAGCCATATTGTTTGCCCTCGGCGTACCGTGGTTAATAAAAACACTCACCTACCTAGTGCAGGGTTCAGAAACAACTGCGGTGTACATAAACTCGTCGGGGATCGATTTCGTGGTCGCGACACTCTTGATAGCCGTGTCGTGTCTTTGGATTACATTGTTCATCGGCAAGTTTCAATTACGGCGAAGTGTCGGCATCGCTCTCATGAGCTTCTATGTGATTTTCATAACTTTCGCGATTCTACTTGAAATGGGCATCATTTTCCCCACAAGTGTTGCCATATGCTGATCTTTAACGGCGGATGTGTTAAGTGACTCAAGTGACGTAGCAGATCCAATTACACCCAGAAATATAATTTAAGAAAGTTTACAACACAGATAAGACACTGTCTGTAGTTTACGCGAGGACACATTTAAATAAAATACTTTAACGGTTTAAAACACGATATGTATTAGATAACGGACTTCGAAACTATTTCTACGACCCGACGCAAAGTAAGGTGCAAAGCATACAAAACGTCGATAGTTAAAATAATTTCCAAATAAGTTTAACTAATACATATCGCGTTTTAATCTGTTCAAGTATTTTATTTAAACCGATAAGGTCCTATCAATCTCAACTGTATTATAGTGACGACACAACTGCGCTGCATTAACAAATCTACATACACGACTAGATAGTGTTACAAGGGCAGCAAGATCTCTATAGAAACCACAGTTAATATTTTTGTAATAACTTTAATCATTTGGTTGTTTAGGGGCGTAGTTGCGTCGTATTTGTATATGTGAACTGTCGCTATAAGAAAAAGGTATTTTTGGAAATTCTGTTACTTTTTAAAAATGCAGAATAAATCACTGGGAGATCCTGAAGATTTTTCTTTTTCGTTTGTACTATTGTTTTTAGTCTCTGACTAATAAACGACGACGAACTGATTTCAAATTAAATACAATGAACTCGGGTGAGATCGAGCTCTTTAAGCTCGCGCCCATACTGCGGTGACCCAAACCTAGGAGGGATCATCTGGTCTGAGTCGTATTTCTCATAATTTACATATAAACTATTTTAAATATGAAATATTTTGACCAGTTCAATGTAAAATTACCTTATCTTTCGATAGTATGTTTTTGTTATGGCTGCAGTTTAACTCCTAAATGTAAACGATGTTTTATAAATTGTAAATAATGGTGATGATGAAGCACCATTAATTATCCATTTGAATGTTATTTTGTGCAAATTATACGTAAATAACTGTTCTAATCCCGAAAGCTTGAGTTCGATTTCTGGAATTGCAATTTTGTATAGGATTGCTTAGTAACATTATATGTTTTTTAGATAAAAGTTAGTACTAGAGACCATATTGTTGACAAAGTAAAATGTAAAAGGTTTGTATTCGTTATTTAGTTTTACTAATATAAGTAGTTTAACATTGAAATTACATTGCGCCAAAGCTATATATTATGTATGTAAAAAAAAGATTGCTCGATAGAAGTAATCGAGGTACACCGACAATCGTGGCTTAAGTAGAATATTTCAATTCGTCAAAATTCAAAATTTTATGTTTAAGTTAAATTAAAATCGGCGCTGTGTTATTGAAATAGTGGAAACTTTCGAAACATGACACAAACAGTACGTCAATTTTGTTTTATGTAACGTAACGGTTTATCCTCACATATGGTTATATCAATGAGAGAAATGTTTGATTTGTTGTTGTCAAAACAAAGTGAACACATTGAAGGGTTCAAACGTTTTCAGCTTAACTATTTATTCTGGCCGCTGAAAACGTGTAAAAATAAAGTTTTCCTGCGGCCAGAATAAATGGTTTAGCTGAGAAACAAAAGAATTTTATATAGGTTTAATGCTGCAGTTTTACTTACTACGAGTGACCGCGCCATCATGGAATTAGGAAAGCACTCGCTGACAACCACAATAGAAATGGCGCAGTCACAGGTGCACAGCTGATCGTTAACAAAACAGTTCTTTTCGCAAATAATAAAAAAATGCATGAAAACTACCCTTGATGATTATATATCATGCTAATATTCCGGTGCAGATATTTTTAAGATTTCAAAGTGTAACTAAACCAACATAACATTTTTATATGTAAATAGATAATTTAATTTTGAAGTATTCTCATGGATTCCTACTGCCCTGTACTGGGATCAAGCCTGTTCTTTGTCGCTCAATTTCACCGAGGAAATATTAGAACGATTAAAATTCTTATGTCAATGTTTATTTTCAATTTTAATACCTTAAGCAGACGGTATCGGTCGGTTAACTTAACCGGTGATATTGGGCTGCAGGATTGTTTGATTGGTGTTATATTATATTGATAGGTTTACTCGTTGTCTGTGATTTGTGAAAGAAACATTGTATTCTTCGCTTATCATATAGATATTAGCAATAGATGTTGTTTATTGTATATATTGTATTATAATTGTTAAAATACTTTCACATGATATTTTATGATGATAATAATAAGACAAATTGTAGGTACTTGTAGAAGATCTGATTATGTAATGGCTAGGTTGAGATTTTGAACAATAATCAAGTGTCGCCTGTTTTCACTGAATTAGCAATTTAGAGACTTAAATAACTACACCACAGCATTTCTGGGTTTAATATGGAACGAGTACATAAATACAATGTGTGTTAAATAAGGTGGACTTTGACAGTTCTTGAGCCTTGCCTGTAGTTTATGCGAATAGTGTATGTAATTAAAGGCTTTTAGCAGACTTAAACGTGAAATGTAACAGCAAATTTAAGTATTGCTTACTATATATAAGGGTGATTAATAATGTCAGTGAAAATGGACTTGTAAAATTCAAAAGCTCTTCCTTGGGAACGATGAGCGTTAAAGTAATGTTAATTCCTCTAGTTAATAAATAATTTACTAGGTCTATGTGCTTTTATTTATATTGTTTATATGTATATATATTAGCGGTATTTAATTGTGCAAACAAAGCCTCTATTGTCAGACATATCTCTTAAAATATTATTATCGCACAATGAAATCCGTTTGCCAGATTTTTCGTATCAGTAACTTATCAGTGTGGTAGCCTAAAAATTTATTCAATTATACACTTGAATTGTAATTAATATCTAATCAATCGTTATCTTTATTTGTGTACTTTTGTTCCTTCGAAATCTAAAACTTGACATGTTCAATTCGAATTTCGAATTAGCAGGACAAAGTTCTAATAAATTGTTTGTAGTCATTTTAAAGGAGGGTAGATGGGGATATTGCATGTGACGGCCGCGGAGTGCGCTTTGAGTCGTTTGAGCTCCCGAATTTTAGACAAAACTATATGTTGCGTAGAGGAAATGCTAAAAGCCAAGTACCTACCTACAAATCGGTCCCTCGCATGAAGGCTTTTCGTATTGTTCTAGTACTCGTGCTAGTAACTAGGTAAACAACAGTAGGTCAAGTAAATACATATTATATTGTTACCGTTTATTAGTTTTTTTTAACTGCATAGCTATAATAATTCTGATTACAGACAGAGAGTGTCAGTAGTTTTTAACTCTAAATGTAAAATTATGACTCGTTTCATAAAAATCCGACGTATTTTTCGACTGGTGTTGGTATGAATTGACATCATGCTCTCGTCTAGTCACGGACGACCAAACTTTATCAAAATCAAGTGGAATATTATTTACTTATATTTTAATATCTACTAATTCTAAAATAAGTAATGAGAAAATAACACATTACGCTGTGGGAAAGGAATTGAAATAGGTATTTCATGGAACCTTTATGAACTTTAGAAATGATGATATTTTTGAAGAAAATGAGTATGTAATCTTTTCGTTAGCTATTATTTATTATTTTAGTTAGTTAGTTATTATTTTAAACCTTATAAAAATCACCATTCCGCGACGTACCTACAATTAATAATGGAATAAATTCTAAGTAAATGTTTTAAATTAAAATCTGTGAATATTTAAAAACAGGTCCTTTAGCTTTGACGTATTCAACCAAACAAGCTACACTATTATAAGTATACTCGTAGTTACACACTAGCGCGAACTTTCACAAAAGCTGTGACCCCTTTACGTGCCCGGATAAATTAACATTACCCTGAAAAAGTGGCATTTGACAGGTTTGTCACCTTCACTTCAAAGGCTACTAGGCATGGCTTACAAAAGCTATTAGACATGGAAACAAATTTGCATAGAAAAATTATAATTCTTTCTAGATCTGCGAATGACAGCGTTTCATTAAACGCGAGCGTTTACAGCCGTGGGCAAAGGTCGGGGGAGGTTTCCGATATCCCAACGCGTCTATTACAAATTAAACTTTTTCATAGCATGGTTTTTGCTCCGATGTAATATTTGCTTTTTCAGTTTCAGTGTATAATGTCTTTTTATAACATATTTGCTCGTAAAGTGGTTGTAATTACACCAATTTCAATATCGTAATGTATCTCATTACGTACTTGTGCGATAATGTAATGTAAAAGGCTCGTGTTTTGTAAGTTTGTATGTAATTTTTATAAATTCAACCTTAAAGAAGACCTCTACAAGTTATCAGTACCTGGTTGTGATTGTTAATACATTGAATATATTATTAGATAATAAAGTAAAAAACCTTCTTATGGCCATCCGGACTGTCACTTTCGAGTGTATCCTAAATTCGAACTTAGGACCTCTCCTCCTAGTAAAGATGGCTGGCTATGTTTTTTTATGACTTTTGGAAGTAATAATCAGGCTTTTTTATCTCTCTATTGTTTAATTATTTCAATATAGATATAGAAAGTATAAGAAAGTTAAGTATTGTTTGTACTGTTGTAAACCGTTAATTGTGTTGTATTTAAAGAAGTTAAATAAAAATGTATAAAAGCACAACCTTAGAAAGAGATGACAAAATGAAACAAGTTGTTAACACACTTATATTTAATAAACATTCGTTTAATAATTAATACCAGCTTTACATATATAGAGTATATAATTTGACATGTAGATGTTCTTAGTAATATAATTCTAGTATTTACAAGAAGGTCTCTTGTACTCCGCCTCGCCTTTCACCTCCCTTAACAACTGCACGTATTTTGCGACCTGGAACAAGCCATATGTGAGAAAAAGAGTAAATACGTTATATGTAGCGTATGGCATGGTTTGGGGCAAATGTATGTGCCTGTGACAATTGCCTTTATTCACAGGTCTAAGCAGATACCTTTGTGCCGAGAACGACCGAAACGATTGTTTCCTCGACATTTGGAATACAAAACCTCTCACGCTAATAAGTTTACGCGAATATTCAAATTCAAAATAGGTCGATAGCGCATCTTGTTTAGATGTTATGTGATTTCACCTACTATCTAGTGAACCTCGTGCTTGTCTGTACTCTTCTATGAGAAAAAGAGATGCAACAAAGATTTTATTAATATTACATGTACGTGTATTTCGTGTAATTAATATTGTTCTCGACATAGTGCAAATCAACTTCTTTCTTCTTCCAAAACCGTAGGCTTAATTTAGATTGAGGTGATCTAAGCATTAACTGCTACCTCTTTCAATAGCTGGTAGAGCGATATCCCTGTCTTCTTGGCGACGTTGTTGCCGTTCGTTCAATGCTTGCACGATATCCACATTTTTGAAGCAGAAGATCACAGCAAGGGCCAATGCCTGTAGAAACCAAGATTAATTTTATCTCTATCTTTATGTTTGTTTAATTTACTTACATCGCTGAGCCTTACTGCTTAATATAATGTATTTATTCCATTAAAATAACATAGAACGAACGAGAAGAAATTAGCGACTGTTCTTTGTTTTTCAAGTCTGAAAGATCGTGCTAAGCATCTCCTCTCACTTCAGACTCAAGCTAAAATTGTCCTTGTGATAAAAAATATAATGTTGTTATAGTATTTTTGCTACAGGTTGTTATTGAGAAAGTTTAAAGTTATAGTAAATAAATATTGTAAATATGACACAGGCTGTAGTCACTTCTTTTTCTTTCTACTTCTTAATAATCTATTAAATTGTAAAACTTCGATGACATAAGTGGAATCTGAAGCGGCATTTACAACTCTAATCACCAGCTACCGTGTCAAGTCCTTTTACTATCAAACTTCTTCAACCCATTGATAAATGTACCTCTCGCGCAATGTATTTTCAACCCTAACACTTATCACTCGGGTTCAATGTCCTATACTTTGCAGCTTAGATGTAGATGTAGATGAAATTATAGAACTAAACGTTTTGAAAATTCATAAATTAAAAATCGATTTTGGAATGAATTTATTTATGACATGGCAGGACAAGAACCGTCATCCACAGCGTTGCATGCTGTTGCTCTAACCAATTGAGCTACCATGGTCTAATGTCAAGCTACTAGTGTCATGGGCAAAAACATTTGATAAATATGAATGTTTTCATTTTATTATATTCTTTTGTTAGACGTAACGTGATTCTAGATTATATTCTTATAAGAAATCAACGTCACAGCAGCGGATCTGTTAAAGAGTAGATGACGAATTTGAAGACTTTTGCTAACATCACGTTTTGATTTCTTGATATAAACGATGGTGACAATTTATATCAGGAAGCCAAAAACATGACATAGCCATTATTACACATTTTAAGTCAATCAAAGTTTTACAGTCGCTGTCGCAGTGGACAGCACATTATGTATGATCATTCACAGTGAAAAAGTGTCGATGTGGGCCACGTACATACAGTAAAATTAAGTATCTTCCGCTTATATAGGTCGCTTTGTAATGCCGAGAGTTGTGCATTTCGGAGTAGGATTGGATACATTTACCAGTTAGCTACCCCGAAATACGTAACCTCGACATACAACATACATATACTCCGCTTCTTGTGCCTCACCTGTAAACAGTATTATGTTTAAAATGCTGTAATCGCGAGCATACAAAATGAATATGTTTCTATTTTCAGGAAAAATGTTCGCGTTTTTCATTTACTTGATATCCTATTTCTTCCTTGTTATCATTAGGGCCATAAATCATAATTATTATCACCATAGTACCATAAAATCAGCAAAACACAAACAATAAATCCCACTTATTTACTATGAATGATTTAAAACTTTGAAAATTTTTTACGACAAAAATCATTCTTTAATAGACCTTTAATTTCCTATATAATGTCATCACGTGCATGTGAATATATACAAGCAACAACTTAAAAAAAACTTTTAAGTTAAACTTTATTTTTATTGCACTGAAAACTACAAAAAAAAATTGACATAATCATCGTGTTTTACTAGTGTAGCCCTTTCATTTGATACCCATCTTGAGGGCGTTAAGGAAAAATATGTAATCCGCCATTTTGTATCGGCGGCCATTTTGGATTTATGATATTAAATGTGTTTACCAAATTTCGGATCAATCTGACAATGGGAAGGTGCTTAAATTTTAATTTCTTATTTTTGACCCCAATAAATAAATTCCGTACGGATCGAGCTAAATATAACCGTTTAAAACTCACCTTCACTTCCCGCTGTTAAAATTAAAGAAATAACAGTCTTAGTCTTCTTATGCTCCGGCTATCCGGTTGCAGAATTACTGAGTACCGCTAAGATGCTAATACATAAATGTTTGAATGATGCAAATCCACATTCGACATTTGTATGTTCGTATCTGGCAACACTCGTGAAGTTTTGTTGGCTTCGTTGCTATTTCACAAATGCTTCCCCGATATTCCTTTATTCGTGCATGTCCCTTGAAGAGGCCGTTTTCCCCATTCTAAATAACGTTTTAGAACCTACGGATCTATATTCCAACTAATATTTATCAACACAGAACAATATACGACTATTTGTTTTTATGAAAAAAAAATATAAATAATATGGCGTTGGGATCGTAGGAATAACGTTTCGTTTTGGCCATCGGATACTAAACTCAAAAAAAAAGGTAGAAAGAAAAACAAAAAAGAATGCGACAAAGAATTTTCGATGTGTCGTTATATCGTGATACTTTAGTTCATACCTAACATTTTGCTATCATTAGATAATCGTCCAACAGTTGATCTCAAATAAAACTTAATTAAGAAGAATAGATCTGTATTAATAATGTTCGCTATTTCCAGTTGCTAATTTTCTAAAACATTTTCCAAATATTAAGTCGCTACACAAAAATGAAAATAACTGAACATCGAAATTGTGCAAAATTAATTTACGCATTGCGTAGACATTTTTCTAATCTCAAGAAATATTATATAATACAGATTTATAAAACTATCATATATTTGAACCTAATAATGTCCCAAAATTTTCCCATTCGTGACGGAGAAAGCAATTTAAAGATTTTAATGACCCACGTTGTTCCAGTGCGGGTTGGCCTTACCCACTAATTTAGTGATGTAGTCCCTTGTAGTCGTACTTCTGAGCAAAAACTGTAACAGTTTCCTTATGCTCTGGACTATATAGGATATTGATCTTATAACCGTCAACTTAGGGTCGAAATTACATTGCATCAAATACATAGTAGCTAGTGAAACGACAACATGACGGGTAACCCACATGTGGCATAAATAATATAATCTTTCATAAAACTTAAAAATATACCTAAATATATTTAACTAAGTGAAAGCTTCTCTCACCTTCGCATATACAAAATGCAATATGCGCGAAAAATACAACAGGCTATGGCGTTATATTTACCTGTAAGATAGTGATGATGAACGTGGCTATTTGATACGCTGTGTTAGCATCAGGTTGAAGGTAAGGATGCATAGGTATAAGTCCGAAGTGTAAACCAAACAGCGGGACCTAAGAAGTAATTCCTTCATAAACTAACACTAAACACTAGCAAAACGATATATAAAATTCTTACAATGTCACAATATTTGTTATCATAGAGCTTGCAAAGTAATTAAGATTCACGAAGAAATATTTCTTTCTTGAACAAAGAATTCCGGGGAAACAAGAGATTGTTTCTGGTGGGGCAGATCCCAAAAATCTGATCAACTACTTGCCTTTAAGTAGGACCGATCAGAGAAACGAAGACAAAAATGGTCACGCCCCATCAGGGGAAGTGAGATAAAAATCCAAACACACGACTTTTAGTAAAAACTACTCATATTTTTAGTAGCCATTTTAGTAATTCAATAGTTATTCAAACCGCTCAATAACTACTCAAACGTGTTCTTGTTACACTTGGCATTCCCTAGAAATTATTTGTATTATGGCTAAACAAATTTCACCGGACATAGCTAGTGTAACCGAATGATTTAAGATTATAAAATGCTCTGCGAGTATAATTAAAATTAGGAACGTGTTGATTTAGGTAGCGTTCATATTCAACTCGCGTTGCCTGGGTAACGTATAAACAGTGCTGATTCTTGAACCCATAAAGAGAGGTCACTCACCAGAATTAAAGTCTGCTGAGCAGCTTTCACGACTGCTAGCAGCCGTGCTTGGCTCGGGGTACGAAGGATTCTGTAGTATTCCAACGTGACGATGTTTAGCAGCATCACTGTTAAACAATAACAAATATTTGAAGGAAAGTTTCAGCTTATGTTTTGTTTTGTAATGTGACCCCAATTTCAACTAGGGTAAGATAGCTTAGCTAGTATATTCGTGGCTTAAAATGTACAATACAATGTAACTTACCTAAAGAACTAATAATAGCTATCCAAACAGGCACCGAAATAAAATAGATAGCATTGCTTTCATCTGTCCAGCAACTAGAACAATGTATATAAGAATAAAAAAATAGTCGATTTAAAAGGAATTAAAATTTAAACTTCATATATATAAAATTCTCTTGTCTGAACTGGTTTTAATAAAAAGTTATATAAATTCGTTAGGACTGAGAAAAGATTTTACTAAAATATGCTAGAGAAATAATTTATATAGCAACAATTGTCAAGTCATCTAGTAATTTATTGGTGTATTTTTTTTACTTACTGATCTGTCGATTGGTAGTAGAACCCGCGGACTATGACGTACACAGCCGTAATGAAAAGGGGGCAAAACCATCCGATTATATTGAAGAGGGGTATCGAGTCTTTTAATCTAACGTGCAACTGCAACAATAGATTTTTTTTCATAATATCACGCTAATGTAAGGATTAGTCTGTAGTTGAAATAATTTTATAAGCACTGATAGGCGCAGGTCTCGTGTGGCATTGGAGAGGGTTTAAAGCGATCTATCATACTATTCCAGTGGGTGTTGGCGACCTAACCCGACTCAGGATTCGAATCCCGGACCTTGTGGTGTGCAGTTTTAGCTATATTATAGTCGATTCAATCCGCATTGGTCATACATTGAAGAGTAAGTACTGCCTTTACAATACGCGAGTAGTACAAATTTTTATAACTATTTTTACGGTTTAAAACGCAAAATATTAAGTTAAGTAAATTTTATTTTGTGACTACGGTTGCTGTCAAGCATCTGAAACGTCGAGCCACATTTACAGTAAATTAGAAATATAAATAGAAGGTAACTAAAATATTTCGCGTTTTATACCGTTAAAACAATTTTATTTAATTTGAATAATGAGAATAAATAACTTCAATGTTTTTCAATGTTTTAATGCGAGTTTAATCAACTTTAATTTGTATGCCCAAAGTGGCGCGTATTTGCTAAACTAAATTAAGTAGACGCTACAATTTGCAGCTCAATAACTAAGCATTTCCAAAGAAGGAATTCAGTTACTCCAAAAAAAAACCTTTTGTCGGAAAAAACCGTTTGTTTGTGAAGAGGGGTTATCGTTTTAGATTTAATGGGAAACAAAAGAATGTTACTATTATATTTCATTCACTTACGTATGCTAAGGCGAGGCGGAGGCAAAGACTATGGCAAAACAACCACATGTAGCCTGTGAGAAGCATGTACTGCATAGCGACGTGAAAGAATTGGCACGATACCTGTAAGATAATTTAAGTAGAAGAAAAAAAAAACTAACGAAATCTTGAACTTAAAAAAACATCTAATATTTTAAAATTCTGGAGTTGCAATAGTCCTCAAAACGGCTTGACCGATTTATATTACATAACAAATATATAGCAGGGCTAAGAATCTCCTATCTATTTTTCATACCCCTAAGCGACCCCTGAAGTCCAAATTCCATAGTTGATCTGTATGTATGTACGTCACCCTACTAGCATGATACGAGAATTAAGGTACTTCTATTTCAAACAGTATATGTACATATAAGGACACACATATAATTTAAAAAAGGAATTGTATCTTTGAAGTCCAATAATTTTATGTCAAAATCGGTACGAAAATTTTAAAACAGGTATTGATTGACAAAAGCTATGATCCGTTCGTAATCGTAAAGGCTTAATCAGTGAATGTTATACTTACCGAGTTATTCAACAGTACGTTCGCATCATTAACGACAAAGTAATTCCATACATTCCAACTACTGTTCGACATTATTAGAGAGATAAAAAGGTTACAATGTAATCGTACGCGAATGATTTTAAGAGTGCTGAAACATATAATACCAATTAGTATATAACTTTACATAGTGCAAGCAGTCGGTTTGTACTCCGGCAAACAGAATATGTTTGGCACATAACCTCGACGTAACGGGTGTAAAAAGAGTGAATTGCAGTGTTTACTTTTGTAGTAACATGTGTCATTACTGGAGTATTAATTTATTATAATACTACTTATTGCTTTTTATATTTATTATTAAATTTGGATATTTTTGAACAGTTTTATTTAGCTCGACCCGTACGGAATTTATTTATTTAGGTAAATTGTGAAAATAGGTATAAAAGAATGAAAATTAAATGCTTTAATAAAAATGTATTATTTACTTTTATATTAGTTAAATAATTTTAGGTATTCACTCACCCAAAATACCAATGAACCGTCGTACAAAATATCAAAATTCCAGTGGATATCGCATAACCACAATTATACAGGTTGCTAACGATTCCTTGCATCTGCAAATAATAAATAATGCCAATCGATTTGGTTGAAAACAATGAAACATGGTAGCACGTCACAAGCTGATAGAGTTTGTTTGATGGTAAAATACAGCCGGCAGCCATAAAAAATATTCGGGATTCCAAAACATACATAATTTAAACGGGTATAGGAACTGGAAAGGTATAAATTGGATGTAGAACCATTTTGGACCCAGTGAGAATCGAACCCCTTATCAATGGACCGACGAGCCAGATAAATACTGCTCGTTTCCTGAGGCTACAGTAGCGAAAATCAGTGCTGTTAAATTAAAGATACACATTTAATATTTTAAATATTTATATTTACCTGTACGAAATAAATTAAACTCTAGAGCGATTTTATTTTTTTTTGCACATATTTTGTTAATATAACTTCGTTAAATTAAATATGATATTTTGATTCAAGCCAGTCGGTTGAATTTTTATATTAATATCGGATGGTTAATTATGTTGGAATGATTGAAATTTGTAAACATGTTATTATTTTATAAAATAAAAAAAAAAAACTTCATTGGGTACTTCGGAGGAAATATTCGGAGGGTCTAGGTTATGTCAGAAATAATCAATTCATTAGTAGTATATGTTTTTATACAATTTATTTTGTCTGTATGTGTAATAGTCTAACACCGTTATTCATTAATGAAGAAAACAGTAAACCGACCGCTTCTGTAGCTAAATGATTACCAGTTGTCTAGCATTGCGTTAAGCGCTAGTGGTCCTGGATTCCAATTCTAAGAAAACAATAGATTGTTTCGGTCGGGCAGGACGCAGAAGTCTGAACAACTACTTTCCTGTAAATATTACCGGCTAAAATAGAAATACAAAAGTAAATACAGGATACAGAAATGTGTTCGCCCTATACCTGACGGGGCGAAAATGGATTACACTTTTTTAAGTATTTACATAGGGCGCATTAAAATGTTTTTTTTTTTGCTTGATGGAAGGAGAATCCAGCCATATTACGTCTCAACATTCGCTGTCGACCTATTTTGGCCCTCGATATTTGGTAATCTACAGACTGAGTCGCAATTAAACTCCACGGCTTTTTATTTGTGGACGGTGGTTCATGACCCGTACGGAATATTTAAATTTCCTAACACCTATTTAACAGGGGGTTTGATTACTTTTGGAAGGGGGCGGAATGTGAGGGAGTTAGGGCAGACATATTTTTATATCCCAAAGGTATAACGGAAATTATTTAAAGAACGAAAAATAAATTACCATCAAAATTGTAGGATCGTAACAGCCGGCATAATTAGTCCAGTCTTTCCCTTCTATCGGATTTCCCAACCAGGTTCCGTTGTCATCGCACCTGGACAAAACATTACGTCTTAAAAATCTTCCAGTAATAAGCTTCAAAAAATCAACTTATGATGTTACTTTATGCCTCATTGTTATAAAATACCCTATGAGGGTATGGAATAAGAGCTGACGATGAAAAATTTTTGTGAAAAACGATACTGTACATACATATTTTGCGTCAACTTGGTCTCGTCGAAACCCTGAACGTAGCTAGGACAGTTCTGGGTGACAATTGTCCCAGCGGGAGTAGCATTCCAGCACTGGTACCCATCAAACAAACGGGAACAGAACTTGACAATACCTGGCAGAAACGACATTGTACTAATACTTTGGCCAATTTGTGTAATTACTACTTGTCCAGAATCGAACCTAAGACCTCTTGCGCTAAGTCCAGTAACTAGTTTAATTTTAACTTATAATGCATTATAAATGTCTGTGATGAAAGATTTTAATAGCTAAATAAATTTAAAAATGTATTTTATTACCACTCAAACCACTCCGTGTCTTTATAGTTAAGTAAATAAACCTGTGACCTGCGCGAGCCCGAGAGGTCCTATATTCGAATCCCAATAAATTGGTTTGGTCAGACAGAGCGCAGAAGATTGAACTATTTGGTTGTCAATGAAATTGACCAGCATCATATTTATTTTATCAATTAGAAAAAAAAAATGTTATAAAACCATTGAACTCCTTGTTACCAAATACAAAGTACACATGAAAGAAAACTTAAAACTATGGAATACAGAAGGCGGCCGTAGCGCGTACACGTAATTTCTTTTCTTAAATTAAAATATTTTAACAAGCTGAAATGCTATTTTTTTCTAGATACTTTAAGAATATAAATATTTTTTCAGTTAAAACCTATGAAATAATAACTGTTTAAGAATAAATAACATTCCTTTACCTCAATAACTGAAAATATCGTTTGCCCGTGATGACGTGATGGTAACCTTTAAAAAAATATAAAGAAAACGAAATTAAATAATACTAACAAAAAATTATATGCAGAATAGAATAAAAAATTAATAAAGAGTATTTAGAGGAAAAACTTAATTTAATTAAAAAAACAAAACAAAGTATAATCCTATGGTTTGAGCAGGTATAATTTAATACGTAATAATTAAAATATATATATATATATATATTGTGTTTAAAAAGTCCATCGGTCTGCCGGTCACCAGTCAAGATTTGCGTATAACTGCAGTGTTTATTTATCCCTTAGTAATTATGCATTTCTTTAACAACAATAAAAGCCAAATAGATATTACAACGAGCTCCCATACAAAAAACGTTACAATCGATTATTCGATTCAGTTTATACTAAAAAAAATTTGAAGTTTGTGTTCTCCTTGTTAATGATATGAAAATATTTGCTCGCTAACCCTTTGTCGTTGTATCTTTGTCGGTTTTTTTTAATATTTAGTACGGTTAGAGTTAATACTATATTAAAATGTTTACTAATACAATACTTACTTTGCAGAGTAGAATTATTTTCCTCCGGGATGGAGCATGCGTCCATTGCTTTTACAAACTTGTCAAATTGATATTGGTGGTTGAATTGAAATTGTCCGTTCGCCATGGCGGTGTTATTATTCGCTTCGCTAACTGGAAGTTGAAATACATGTTCGCTTTTTGTTGCGAATTGCCGCACAGATAAAAATCACAACATAAATAAAGGGATAAGCGAGAAAATTAATATAAAAAAATAATTTACAAAATATTTTTATATTTTTATACGTAGAATTTCGATGTTTTCAAAGGTTGTTTCATGTGATTGCACAAAATTTTTTAAATAACGAATATATTATTTTTAAATATTGAATTTGGAAATGTTCCGGGTTTTCGAACGTTTTATATATATGTATATATACATATACATAAAGTGTTTTTTGCTGTGTTTTGGAGGCTTTTTGATCGGAATATAATTTTTTATTGTACTTATATTTTGTTACTGTTGTCAATCAAATTAGAACTATTTTTATTTCATGGCACCTTTGAAAATTAAATGTTTTTGTCACTGCTCTAGCGCGTTTTATTGTTTTTAAATGTAGCATGTGTATCCATATTCATAGATTAAAAATATGAAATTCTTTATTTCAATACACTTTTTCAAAATTCGAATGTTTTGATCTCTGCTCTTAAACATATTAGACGTAGAATGCCCGTTTAAACGGATAAATCCATGTTTTATTTGGAACACTTTTAAATTATTCTACGAATCACTGCACTTGCGTATCGAAAAATATGTTTCCGACACCGAATACGCATTTTCTTCACAAAAAAAAAGTTTCGCATCTCGCTCGTGTTGTGTTCTTGAAACATGGCGAACGACGTCATTTCAGTGCACGGGAAAAACTCCCACTGACAATGGTTCGACGCTTAACACTCGGGTTTCTATCCGTAAGCACGAGGGGACACGAAGCGAGTTCGTTTCTCCTAACTTTCGAGGAAGTTGAAGCACTCACATTGACTCGCGCTGTTCAAAACAAAGTAAAGTCAAAATTCTCGACTGCGCTTAGGGGTTAAACGATTATAAAAGGTTAAAAGTAAATAAATAATAAGAAAGATATATAAATATATACCTACATACATTGTTATTTATTTATAAAATGCTATCATGTGCATTGGAAAATAAAAAACTTATCAAAATTTAAAATTACAACAGTTTTTCTCCATAAGGAAAAGAAAGGTTTTATTCATGATATAATTTAAGTTGAATATTTTTATTGTATAAAATAAATTTTTAATAAATAAAAATATTAAATAAACTATTTACGAATTTTGCTACTTTGTTGCTTCATATTGTTAATTATGAATTAACTAAAGGTTTTATTTAGAAACAATAGAATAACAATCTTGCTTTCTTAAATTTAATGAAATTAATGTAAGTATTATTAATGGTTATGTTTATGGTTTATATTATTATGATTTAAAGAAAAACTTTCGACAGTTAAAAAGTCGAAACAAATGGAGAAAAGAAGATTAAAGATTAGGAAGAAGACAAGTGTAATAAAATAAAGGTATTCTGAAGAGAATCCGAAACATCGGGTAATTAAATCTATTAACTAATATTTCGCATTATAAACCGTTAATAATGTTTTATTTATTACAAATCTAGACTATATGTAATGTATGCAGCTAGTATAATATATATTGTACTAGCTGTGCCAGCGATTTCATCCGCTTGAAAGAGTTATTGGGCATCGAAATTTGTTTTTGCTAACCTCTATAAATTATAGCTGAAAAGTGATAATCAAGGCGTCGGTCGCGTCATAATCATTAAAGGTCTACCTTTAATGATTAACTAGGATATGTATATAGTTGCGGACATTTTTTAGATCATTCTTTAATCATTAATCATTTTTTAGGTACCTTGAATCATTTTCACGTCGCATGCAACACAGTACTTGCTGCGATTAGGGTGTTCGAACAAACAAACAAACTTTTCAGGTTATATAAGTATACAATACCACAGATAATAATTAAAAGAAACAATAGTCAGTCGTCATATCATCTCTAATCGCCCATGTTTGATATTTGTGGAACATAAACTCTGCAGTGAACATTAATTAATGGATGCAAGATAGAATTGAATGAGTTTTCACTGTAAAGCCTTACAAATAGACAACAAAGGCCTTTTACATCAACCGAATTCGGTGACTACCCGTTAAATTGCCATGCTAAAATCATCCCCTGTGTGGTTCATTTCAAATCAATGTCGTACTAATTACTACTCCAAAACCGCTGCATCGAACATTAATATTATAAGCCCGAAAGCCTACTGTATTAAACCAATGTTCGTAATTATATGAAAAACGCACGCATTTGAAATTCAACAGAGTTATAGCGATTATTACCGTCATTGTGAAATATTCAATTGCATATTTTCCTCGGATTCCTATAAAATAAACGCTGCATAAACTCGACTCTTTTAAAATATCGATCGTCCTACAGCCATTTAAATTTGACGCTTAGCAATAATAGTATGTTTTCTAGCGTTCTTATAATTTTTTCCTCGAAAATCAAATTTCTTTATTTTCTCCTATTATAATATGTATGAATTTATATATTATGGTGTCGCGGACTCGTTACGCGCTTTTCTTCATTTTTGCATAACTTTTAGGTTTCCGCAACCAAATGAACCGTCGTTTTAAGTCAAAAATAATTTAATCATGTAGATAACTAGGTACACTTATGAACGTCACAAAACTAAAGAATCTAACTTTACTTTTCCTACCCGTAAAATCAAGGGCGTAGAACGAACGAGAAGAACTGGCAAAAAACTCGCCGCCACTTCTTTTATCACCAAGTTTCACTTTACAATCTTCACGTAGGTGTACTAAATATTTTTTCTTGTTAGAGCGGATTTCTCCAAGTAAAAAACGGTTCCTCCACGCAAAAAACATTTTTATCGTTGAAATATTAACATCATAATTTAAATGAAACACTTTAACGGTTTAAAACGCGATATATTAGTTAAACTTATTTAAAAATTATTTTCAAATAAGTTTAACTAATATATCGCGATCATACACCTTGATTTTACGGGTAGTAAAAGTAAAATTAGATTCTTTAGTTTTGTGACGTTCATAAGTGTACCTAGTTATCTACATGAATAAATTATTTTTGACTTAGAACGACGGTTCCTTTGGTTTGGTTTATTTTAATGTGTATCTACTCGCGTAAACTATAGACAGTATTTAACATCATAATTTCCAAGCGGTTTTTAGTTTACATACATTCTAAACGTGTTTATTGAGAGTGCGCTACCCTATGGATTTTATTAAAGTATCGTATACAATCATTCTTGCTGTATGTCCGAAATATTAAGTTGCTGTGTTACCAAGCACTAAAACTAACTAGGCACAAAAACATTTAACTAGGGCTTCTATAAAAGAGTAAAATTTTGCATCATAATAACTTGTAATAAACGCTTAATATATATGCTATAAAAATAATAACTTCAGTTCAGGCGTATTAAACGGAATGGCGAATCGTATTAAGCGGTAAGAAATGTATGAAAATACGCAACAAGTTGCAGGGCCTGGCCTATAGTCGCGTATTATACGGCAAAAAGTATAAAGCGGGATCGTCTTAAACTGCTTCTACTGTATACGAATTAAATAGAAAACCTTCCGTTTTTGGAGCCATTTAAAAAAGAATTCAATATTAAATTTATCTACCTTTTCAATAATAAGGATTCCTTCGTGCGAACTCCAGCCATCCATTTTATATAGTATTTTTTATAAGCTAATACCGTATTCGATATAGACTAAAATCGCTATTTAGACTTTTATCCCTTTAATTTAACTAAATCAGTGAGTAAAAAACATGTTTGGGCAAGAATAAACGTTCCGTACTCAAAGCTCAAGAACCGTGTTTGACAGTTAAAAATTTCACAAGGGACATTTCGATAGACTTCGAATGTATTGCAACAAAACAAATTATGTTTTAATCGCACATTTGTATTTTATAAAAAATATATTATTTAGTTTTAAAGCTGCCTACAAAAATAGAATAAGCGGACGAGCATTTAAGCTCTCGTAATAAATATGAAACACCTCTCGGTTCGCCTAAATTTTGTTATCGGCTATTGGGACTATTAAATAAAAATGTTATCGACAAACGCAAAATCTAGAAAGCCTATTTTTTAATTATGTTTTTTTTAGATATGATTTGTTTATTTAATCCTTACACATTACGCACATTTGGTTTTTTTAAAGTTGTTCAAGTTACAGTTTCTAAAAAAACAATTAAGAATACGATAATGACCGATACTATTTTTTTTATTCATTATGTATTTAAAACAATATATTTATTTTTGTTCTCATAGTATAGACTACAAAAAGTCTTTCTAAGTTAAAGAGCAGGTAATAAGTCACAAAAAATACTTACCTGACTCCTTATACTTACCGCGTTGCAGCCTGGAAGCCTTACAATAAATTAATGAAGTTACAAAAGTTAAGTTTACAAGAGTGAATTAATAAAATTTAAATTTATCGCGTCCTTCCGTTTAATATCGCGTTTAAAAAGTTAATTTTATTATATTTTAATTGAGTTATAACTTTAATTTTTATTAGATTTTTTTTAATAAAAGAAAGAAAATATTGAAATTAAATAAAACTCAATAATGATTGTTAAAATACTATTCAAATCACTTATATAAAAACTCATTAAAATGCGCGAATAATAAAAATAAAATTAAAAATAGAACGATTTAAATATATGAAATATTTAAAAACCGAATGCACCGTCGGAAGTTGGGAGTATTTCTCCGTTCAGGTGCTCTTCCGGACGGTTCAAAGCGAACTGATCTAGATGCAGGATGCAGGTGTATGCTCCTGGTAACAAGTAGGCGGAGCTCACTAACACAAACACACCATTTACACGCTATGATAACAAGTGGGCGTCTCCCAGGCACACACAGGCGTGTTTTTCAGGAAACCATTTTGTAAATATTGAATTTATCTTACGTCAATAAAGGTCTGTATATATTAATCTTTCCAGGAATTAAAGGGTATTATCGGATTTATTTCATACTTTATATACAAGAAAAAATAAGCAAATCCTCTTTGGAAAATCTGCTAAATTGTAACGTTATTAAACGTTACAATTTAGCTGATTTAAGTGGGATTAAAAATCGGTTTTCATTAAAAATATTAAACATACTGAAACAAAATATAAGCTTTTAAGATTTAAGAACGAAGTTCACGGGCTGTCGAGAAACACAAGCGAAACTTCCGCGTATAAAACCGTTAATCATTTTTTGTTAACATATCTTAAATTTAAAATAGAGCTATATTATGTACTTTTATTCGTCACACACATTATATAAGTCACAGGACACATTCTAGTACCGATTTATGAGATTTTTGTTTTATATAACTTCGATTTTTTTATTTTATTTGCAGTTTCATAGTTCATAGTCATTTTGTACCCCCGGCGGCACTAAAAATCCGTGCATCTCCGCTACACTATTGTATGGCATTTTTTTTGTTTTACCATCGTTCTTTATATTGTATTAGAGTTTTTCTGTAATAATAAATGTGTCTGGTAAACTTATTTTTTTTAATTTGAATTTGTTGCTTGGAGTAGGATTGTAGGTAGTAATGATCGCTCAAAAATGGAAAATAGGATAAGAAAGGATCAATCTATCATTGTTTAAAAATTTTGAATAAATCCTATAGTCAAATAGATGTCCTGATTTCCAAAATTAGCCTCAAAATATGATGATAAAGTAAAATCTTTAAATGTATGAGATGAAACATTTGTCAATAACCATTCAACAAAAAACTCAATAATTTAGTTATAAAGTGTATTTATTAATTTTTTTAAATAAATGTTTAAATAAAACATTAGGTTTAAAACGCGATATATTAGTTATAACTAATAATTTGTTAGTTAAAGTGTTTTATTTAAATTTGTACTACTTGCGTAAACTATAGACAGCATTTAAACTATTTGTTGTCAATAGACGAAATTAAATAGATGTTATTTAAATAAACTTTTCGAAGTACTTATTAAAACCCAAAACATCTATTTTAGATTGAATTCATAGGCGCGGGGCTCGACCATAGCGTAAATTACGTAAGTTGCAACTTGTAATTACGTCATCCAAGAGGAGCTTGGATTAAGCTCTGTGGGTTCGAGTCCCGCCCGGGTTTCCACTTTTTCTACCTGGTCACGAACCGCTGTTCATAGATAGAAAAGACGTACAGTTTGTTCGTTTCCATTTATGGACTTCTTCACATCCTAGGTGTGTAAAAATCTTGTTTAGATGGCTTGGCTGGGTTATTTTAACTTCATTTAAGTGAATCCATACTTGCCTGTCCTTCTCTGTTAGGTTTAATTAAGTTTATTTCAATGTACTGGATTTCCAGTAGTGATAAATTTTATAGTTACCCAATCATTCCGGAAATGCAAAGATTTAACTAGACGGCGTTGCAACAGGATAAGTCAGTATGAAACCGAAATTTGACAGTTTTGCTCGCAATGAAAATAGACCGGGGGCGATTCTCATAGTTGTATACACATCTACGTTGCCTTTCCCATCGGATTCAAATACTACCATAGATACGACTCATGTCGACGTAAAGAGTATTAACGCCGAGGGTGTAAGATCTGAAAACAAATAATGTTCAGTTCGCGGAAAGGCCTTTATGGTATAAAGTCTGTATCTTTTGTTGACAGATCTCTGTATCTTTGTATTACAAGATGATTAATAAATAACTTATTTTAATGATAGGACAGACAATCGTGTGGTTTACTTGATGCTAGATGAAATACCCCTGCCCACCCATTTTGGCTGTGGAAATTCGGAAATCTATAGACTGCAACCAAAACGCGAATAAACTTCGCGGCTTTTACATATGTCGACTATGGTTCGTGACTCGGACGGAATTTCGATATTCCTACCACCCATTTTATATCCACATTTCCAGACGAAGTCGAAAAGGTTCCATAAAAATAATAATAATATAAACTGTGTCAAAACATGCTCAACCCGGTGGGGATTATAAAATAATACAAATCTTATAAAAGTTTAAAAAATATAATGATGTGTCGTTATTTTTCAACTGAGCTAACAGAAAAAAAAACAAAAACGGCTGTGTAAAGAATCGACCACGATAAGCCAGGTTCGAGTCCTGACACGATATACGATATACGATATTCGAGAGGTCCTGTGTTAAAATCCCTAGAAAACTATAAATAATAGATTGTTTCCGTCGGGCAGGGCACAGCAATTTGATCAACTACTTGCGTGTGAAAGAACTGATCAGTGAAACAGACACAGAATTGTGTTCGCGACATGATCACATATATAATCAATGCATATAATATAATCATAGGTCAAAATTACATAAATATTTTGATATAGTTCAATTCATATATATTTGAATTGAACTATGTCAAAACGCATGGATAACATTGATTTTATATTTAACATGAAAACGTTTTGATTCGTCAATTCACTAGAACCGGATGAAAAGGGGGGATACGGAGAACTTATGGTTTCAGCTTTGTCAGCTGAATCGTATTAAATTTACAACGTAGAGCTAGAGTAAACAATTCCTACCAACTTGTATTTGAATTATTCGCCACATTTTAATCACTATAAAGTTATCAGTTGTCCACCTTTTTAGTCTCTTGGCCAGGTCATAAAAATATAAAAGAGCTTAATAATTCGAGATAATGATTTCAAGAACAACGTGATTGGACGGGGACGACGTTGTGGGTAACAACTATATTCTATAAAAATGAGGAGGTTTGCAAAAACAAAGTTTGATAGGCAATAATGTTCTACGCAAACGAAGTATCTGACACAGTTACTCTTATAATATGTCGTGTATGTAGACATAGCATTAGGTTTAGCTGTCACGCAGCAACCGTCAATATAATAAAACAGCTTTCCGATGAACTCGTACAGCCATGATTCTATACTAATTCCTTGAACTCATATCAAAGGATCATTTAGTAGAGCATAAGTTAAATAGTACATATAGGTTGTTGCTTCAGTGGTAGCACTTAGTTACAATCGTGTGTCGTCAAATCTAACGTGATTCTTATAATATACTCGAGGCACGTAAAGAAAATTATAATATAATGATTAGTAATGCAAAAATAAGATCTCAATTTTATATATTTATTTTAACATACTGTATAGAAATCGCCAAACCAGTACTACGACGAAACGACAGAACTAACAGAACATAAGAAATGTGCGTCCATACAAATAGTGATAAATATAACATAATACTCATTTAACAATATTTAGACACAAAACAACTAAATGTAATATAAAGGTCTCTTTCCAAGTGAAACGATCTCCCCTTTGATCTTAATTAAAAAAAAATCTATATATATTTTGACCAGAAACCTGTTAGACATAAGAAAAGGTAGATCTTTAACCAGAGGTAGGGACATCCGGGTCACAAAATACAGGCGGAACGCCGGGGAAGGATGAGATGTTTCCCCCCATCGTGTGAATTCCATACTATCCTCCTCTGTCATACACAATCAAACTTTAAAATAAAAGTAAAAGTAAAAATTGATCATGTAGTTTTATTATAGTAATAGACAGAATTTTGAAATTAAATTAAAATAGGTCAATTATTGTTGTTTTTTTGTATATTTATCAAAGTTTTTTCACCAGTTTGTTTTATCCATCTTCATCTCTTGACTGAATGCTCAATATTAAAGCAAAAACACTTGAGGACTCACAATATAACACAGGATAATATTAAAGAATTAACGATGATACAAATTTTAAGTCTCTACAAAGAAACCGGAAGGTTTGAAGAGACACAGTGAGGAAAAGGTGGTTAGCAGATAACATGAATTTGATTTCTATGAGTGCCCCATTAGGAAATAATAACAATATTGGTTTCATCGTACGGACATGTGTGAGTGATTCTCACACGAAGGGACGTTATTTTTTTTTCATTTTCAGACTCCGCTCAAACAACATCCTTTGCCAAAAGGTTTTTTTACCTTTAGACGTCCCTTCCTCCTCAACTTATTTATTAATTAAAATATAATTAGCCCTACTAAATTCATTTTCTACCTATCTTCTAAATTATATTCCAACAAAAAATCTTATTGTAATCGTACCTATGACAAAAATGTTTTCTATATTTTTAAGTATAATGTCTCACTATAACTTTTCCTTTCTTTCCATTACTTACTTAGATTTTAACTGGTATTTCTAAATGCATCGGAAGAGACTAGCCGCCTTCGACACAGGAAATCTTAGTGTGTGGGCTAGCAAAGCCTATAACGATGTGTACCTACAATTTTTTTTGGTAAATAAAGAATTAGTACTTGTATTCGTTATTTTAAGTGCTTATCACTTATTGGTAGCAAGGCTAATAAAATGCCTTTGTTGAGTAAAAATAAGATGCTTATTTTTTCATATTTTTTTGTGAAAATGTCAACTGTTTAGTTATTGAGGGTGGCAACACTCTCGCATGAGTATCGTGACATTCGTCTTGTCAGAAGATCAAAACCGTTAATATTTTTGTAACAAAATTTTGTAAAAACAAACAAAAATGTCTGCTTCCCTGGACTCGAACCTGGACCCGATGGAGGAGATCCGATTTCGGAAGAAACATGGCGCGATGTGGATGGAAATTCAGAAAGACACACATTTCTCATTTGACGAACTCGAACGTATGTAATCTGTATATCTTATGTATTTCATTTACCGAAAATCGAATCTACCAATACCGAAAGTTTTTTGTGAGAATAATTTTGGTTTTGAGAAATGTCCTCATGTATTTTAAAACAGCACCGTACTTGTAACTTAAAGTTGTTTATTACGTTTTAATAATGCTGTTGCTAACTTATAATTGTACACAACTCTAGAGGTACATACACAGATAAAAACTATAGATTTTTAGTTTAGGTTAATACGAAAATATGTATTATAAACATTTATACTACCTGTTAAAACTCTAACATAATTAAGAATTATATAAGTGTATACATGTATATTCTAATTTATTTTATTTATTGATTTTCCAAAAAAACTATACACTATTATTGTTACCATTAAGATGAAAGATTATTGTGTTATTATTATTAACCAAACTTTATATTATAATATCGTTTCCAGAAATAATGGTGATCTTCTTCAAGATACAGAAACGAGACGAGAAACCGGCAGCCTCAGATTTAATTTCAAGGTATTACTGAAATAGTAAAAACAGTAATGTTTCAAGTAGTTAGTGTTAAATTAAGCATAGAAGCATTTAAGCTTCTCGCATACACATCGTAAAACAATCCTTAGTTATAGTAGAAGATACGTTCCGGGTTCGATTTCCACCGGGTCCAGCATGTCTGTAATTCATTGTCAGATATTTATTTATGATTATTGTATAATATTTTCTAAATATTTTGATAGAAATATAGGTCGCTATCGAAATTTCCGTTTAGGCTACAAACCATTGCCATACGTGACATTGTAGCGTACATTCACGTTTTGGCTTCTATACATCTGATGATATAAGTATAAGGTATAAATTGGCCGGCTGCGCAGTTACTATCTGTAGTTTACGGGAGTAGTACACATTTAAATAAAAAACTTTAACGGTTTAAAACGCCATATAATATATTAGTTACACTTATTTTAACTTTTGAAAAAGTTGAACTAATATATATCGCGTTTTAAACGGTTAAAATATTTTATTTAAATATTTCATCTACCAAATTAGTAAAAGCAAGAACTTGGACTAGGAAAAATCTTTTTCATTTGCCTTAGCTGTACCTCAATCAGCCTTTTTTTGCATTACCTCCGCAGGATACAAAACAATACACGTGTCGTGACCACTTTAATGTCGATGAATTGACGCTACGAGTAAAATTGAAAGCCCCTTGTTTTCCTTTTCAGTTTTTCTGAGCTTCATCCGATTAGGATTTCCGTTTTATCAATTTAATGCCCAATAACGAAGGCTTGGTTACTAAGCTATTAATCCTATTATTGGACTTAAAACATCTTTTCATTGATTATTTAGTTAATCCACGAGAAAGGGAAGGGATCGAGACTGAAGAAGGGTTTCTATAGATCTTATAAATGTCAATAACGCTGTTGGTACCTTTTTATGATAGAAGAAAACAGACTGGGGATCACTTGATGGCAGGTGAAATTAAGAAATAACACATTCATAAAACTCAATTGTATTTTTTTGTTAATCATAGAAAAAAAAAACCATTATTTTGCAATATAAGATGCTATAAGAGGGGAGGTGTAGTAAAAAAATAATAAAAATCGTTTGTTTGAGGGTAAAGTGAAAAGGGGGATAGAGATAAAACATTATCACTCTATGAAATATGTATATAATAAGTCTATCGCAATGAATTTTTTCTGTAATGGTAGAATATCTTTATAATGAAATAAATAAAATAAAATTAATAAATTATTTATTTACTACCTTCGCCAGCGACATTGTTTGCATAGAACAGTTACTTTGAGCATAAAAATTTGTTTTTGTAAAGCTCCACTTTATAAATTATACCAATTACCCACGACGTCGGTCCTCTCGCGTCGTTCCTACGAGTTAATCTTAAAAGATAGGAATATACTGTCACTGACATTTTTTAGTTCATTTAAAGGAAAAATAATCTTTTGTACATAGTTTTTCAGTTTTTTTAATCGTTTTCGCAGCGCGCGCAACGGAAACCCATAAAGATTAATAATTTTCCTCGTTTTATTTTTTCCCATTTTCCACTCTTCATACTGGTCAAAGCGTGTGCCTGAATAAATGTTTTAACTAACACAAAACAGAGTTTTTAATTCAAACCAGTAGTTTCTGTCATTAGCGCGTCCAAACGATCAAATAAACGGGGTACGTCTCTCTTCTGACCTTTAACTCACTGTGTCCCACCGTGCTCATAACAAATATAGTTATTAGTTATTATTGTTCTTAGTGTCTGTTTATCGTGTTCTTCATTTTTTTACAGGGCACACTTCAGAGACGTTCTACATACTGGATTAGGAATGACTGATTCCTACATGATGGAACGTGTTATGGTTGCCTTAGACAGAGGTACATCCCCCTTCGTTACCATGGCAACGTTTGCGAAAGCCATGTCCTTGTACCTCAGAGGATCTCTAGAGGAACGCATCTCATATGCTTTCACGGTAAAGAATCAAAAATTATGTAAACTGACGTGGTCTTGCTGGTTTTTTCAAAGTAGGCAAAGGCAAGCAAACGACTGGATAGAAGTAGGCACAATACTATACGCACATTGCCCCCGCCTCACCCCTTTGTGGCCGCCCTGTAAACTAAATCAGGTATGGCTATAAGATAATTGTTTAAAAATAGTGTTTAAAAAGTTCCAAATCATATGGCTAATTTTAAAAATTAACTTCAAGAATGCAAAAAAAAACAATCTCGTTGCAAAATGGCTTATTACATTTTTACGCCTATCTGTCTTTGAGGTCCGGTATCAGCAAAAGTAGCGTATTATGTAGGCCTTTTTTAAATGATTATTAAACCTGAGAGTCTGGTGCAGTTTTTAAATTTATGAGCTTTGAGCTACAAAGCTACCTATTAATATTTTAAATTTGAAGTTAAAATTTTAAAACGCAGTTCACGGGTCGTAACTTTTTCACTTTGAACCATCATATTTTTAACTTCCGTTAAGGTTACGGAGACAAATGCTTTAATTATTAATGTACAACTCATGCTTGTTGACCTGTGAAAAAAATCTAGAAAAAGTCTTATCATCTTTTTTAAATTAGCGTTTAAGTTGTTTAGGTCAACAATTTTCAAAATTTAAAAAAAAAATTCGTAACTCGAAATCTATACATAATCGCAGAACATACATGGGGGAGTTTCGGATACTCCAAGAAGTGTTCTATCTTGGGACCACTGCTTGACACTACTTGGGACACCCTGTATAATAGCTATAGAAGGTGGATATATTTCAGTGCTACGATTTATTGGGCGAAGGCTATTTAAGAAGGGAGACGATGTACCAATGTATGAAGAAAAGTATCGCTAAAGCCTCCAGGGATGACGATGTAGAAGAGGCTGTCAAGGTATTTTAAACCTTTTTTTAACCTAAACATTTTATATAGGCTTTAGCTAATTATAATCTAATATAGTTTGGTTAAAATATATATTGATCTTATCAAATGTATCTTTATTTAACCATTAGTAAATATATTAAAAATAAATTAAATAAGGAAGTAAATTAAAAAGACTTACTCAAATTCGACCCTAGTGTAATCTCTTAGAGGGTTGTGTAATGACTGTGACATCTTAATATTGTGTACTGATATTACTGGGTTAAAAACCAAGTTTGAAACTGTAGAAACTTGCGGTTAAAATATTGGTTAATAATTCATTTTGGTAGCGTCTATTATTACCTGAATCCTATATGTTCTCTTTGAGAAAATATTATTATATATTTTGAAATGTAGCCTTCGTTTCTCACCACTTTTTTAAGTTGAAATAACAAAAGTATTGTAATGCTTTTTAGTTAAAATCAAACAGAGAAACTAACAAATGTACAGTTGTGTTTTATTAAGAACCGCCATTGCTTTCTACTCTTCTCATAGATGGCGCTTATAACAATAAATTTATAAAATATTTTTTGTAAATTTGTTAAGCCGTGATACACCTAGCGGAATTTATCTTGATCTTTCTGAGCTCCACAATTTAGCATATGTCCCACCGTCATACGCGCTTATGATATTACAGTAGTCGTGTTTCACTTATGAACCGAGAGGTAGCGTTGCAAACTCAAAAAGCATAAAGGACCTTATAGCATACCACATGTTGTGATGTGTGTCTATTTAAATAAAACACATTTAAACCACTCTGTTTATATCTAATTTTATCCGTTAAAAGTATTTTATTTAAATGTGTACTACAGACTGGGATATCTAGTAGTAACAAAAAGAGTTTAACAAAATGACAAACGTAATGCGTTTTCAGCAGTATAACGTGTTTCATGAGTAGGTAAAGTATAACCGTAAGTTCCTTTTAAAGCTTTCATTTGTATGAATCTTTGTATTGACGTGATACTATTAAGTGTGTTGAGTAAACATTTATTTTATGCGAAACTTGTTTAAAACACAACATGTGTTCTAAACAGCCATTCCCCTTTATTAAATTTAATAATCTATGCGTGCATGTATGCAACGGTTACAAAACAGGTGAATGATTAAAAAGTCAAAAACCAAAATTTAATTTATATTTATATACAATTATTGTTGTTGACAGTTGTCTTGTTGTTTAAAGAGAATCTAGCTGCTAATTCTGGGAGTCAATATTTAACCTTATGGGTTTATTTATTTATCCAAAAATGGGTTGAACGTGTTAACTAGATCAGAAAATCATACGCTGGCCTCGATGGGGATGGAACCCAAGACCCATTGTTTGTTAGCCATACATTGTTACCATTGAGCCAAAGAGGATTCTACATTTAGTTTTGTTTAGACCTTGTCTATCCGTTATAATGTCTGGTAGCCGACGTATGGAAAAGGGATAATGTTTTTTTTTCAGGAATTCGTCGACATTATGCTGAAGAGGATGGATGTAGACGTCGATGGTGTGATAAATTTTGACGATTTTCATACATCAGTGACGAAGACACCTTCCTTGCTGGAAAGTTTGGGATACTGTTTGCCCGAAAGGCCAGCGGTCTACGCGTTTCTAGGGACTTGGTGTCCCAACTGGGGGAAAATGTAAAATACAGTTTAGAGCAATTTTTATTTATGGTTTCTTTGAAGTTCCCCTCGTAAATTTTAGATAAGAATGAATACTATTCGGCTATTTATTTTTAGAGAATAACATTGTTTCAAAAGCCTTTACAGCAAGTCTAGTATAGGTTACTAAAAGTCACAGACACGGCTTTAGAGTATTCGAATTCTCTTCGGTTTAATCAAGCCTTTCTTAAGTACTTCTTTAGGGTTCCTTATGAAAAGGATAAAAACGGGTGTGTCTTAAGACTTCGCTGGCTTTATTTTGTAAGTATTGAAAATGGTGTAATTCCGTTTCTTCCCGTGCTGCATTGGGCGAACACATTTCTGTGTCTGTTTCACTGATTGGTTTTATTTATAAGAAAGTTGTTGATGAGACTTTTGTGCTTTCCGTGAATGTTACTGTCGGAAAGGGCACAGAAGACAGCTACAGAGCTATAGAGACGGTAAGCACTGGAAAGTGAAGTAAAACATGTGTCCTCGCTAATTCGTCCCTTCATATGTCCCATATTTCTTTTGTTCCATAATCTCTCCGAAGTCAATTTCGTGGCTTAAACCTTTCCGTGAAACAAGAATCGTTGAATTTATTCGAGGGTAAATCATCCTCGGCGAGGCGTAGAGCTTTTTCTCAATCGACCTTTGTGTAAGCTCTGTTGACTGACTTCAGAAAAGAAGGTGTCACACACATGATAAGAAACCGTATACTTATACATCACTTGGCTTTGGTATTTGTTCAAGGTGTCTATTTTCCTCCTTTGTGAATTGATATTCGCTACAATGTTTTGAATAATCAATTCTAGGTATTTTTTATGTAGGTTTAAACAAAATAATCAGTAGTATTTTTAATTTAATAATTGATTACTAAAATATTATATATGCATTCAAAACAAAGTTGAAATTTTTCAGGAAAAACAAACGACAAAAACAATTTTTTAATATTTTATTCGTCTACATATACATTTGGCTAACGCCAACATAATTCAGATTTAATTCGATTAAAACATTGATATATCTGAGCTACGAATATTGGCTATTGTTAAACATTGAATCTACAGTACATTAAATCAGAGTTCAATCTACCGCTGGCCGCATATGCGTGACGAAAAAATACATGTACGGTATATAACAGAGACGTCGTCCATAACTGAAAATACAAGTACATACATGAGCAGGTTGGAAAAGGGAACCTCTAATCTGTTTTTACCGTGAAACAAACCTAACACTTAACTCAATCGTAATGCTGAAATCACTGAAACTTTTTCAAATACAACTGATGGCAGGTCTGAAATTTCACGCCAAAGTATGTAAAAAAATTCATTTTTGTACCATTTGACTAGCTTTAAACATATTCGTCACGCTTACACTAAACCAGCTTATACCACGAAGGCGCTATGTAGATGACAAATATTATGAAAAGTCGTCGGAGCCCACTCACAACTCTAAAAGACAAAAACATTTCGTCTTTCTATGAGTAGTTTTTAAATCCCCAATTATGCTATTTGAAATTTCGACGGTCAGAAGACGGTAACAAATTGTTCGGTCAGTTTTCGTTTAGTCGAGGAACGCTTAATGTAGCAATGGTCAAGATGTCATCTACTACGGTTAGTAAAACACCGAAAGAATTCTCAGTTATGAGACCCGAATAGCAAGAAACTCAAGAAATGGCCGCGCAGTAGTTTTTTCACGTCGTTGGTGCAAGGTGCGTTTAATTTATGGTTCCTGGTTTCCTCATTCTCTTCGCAAAATAGTGTGGAGTTTTAAAAAGAAACAATACCTTGAAATAACTAATCATTTTAAATGTTCACGCCTATGCAAAGTTGCATTGTTTTGCTTTCCCGAACATCTTTAATTACGTAAACTTTATATTCAAATAGACTGAAGTATTGTTACGTGTATATGTGAAATCGTTTGTATGATAATAAAGTGTTTCCTCATATGAAGCCGCTAGAGCCAGAGTGACCTAATAACAAATAAACACGATTTTCTATAAGGAGGAACATAAAAATGCGCACTAACTTAACAACGCATTAACTTAGGCGAAAATGAATTTGTACTATTATTTGTGTAAGAAGAATTTATGTCTTGTAGATTAACATTTTCATACTATGAAATATAAATAAATCAAGTCGTAAAATTGCGGTTAGGCTACTCTGCCTTTAGCGGCCTCATATTTAAAAAGGTATATTTAAAAAAAGAATCGGAAAATCGGTTCAGCTGTTAATTTATAGATAGATATGAATAATCATAGTACGTTCTCTAACGATTACAGACTGTCCCATCTCTAGAGCTTTCAAAATTATCATTCTACATTGAGAACATAATATTGTATTATTAATAATATACAGTTGTATGCATTTCGTGAGCACCGACTTTGATTTATCTTAATATTAATTCACTATTTCTAATAGATGTTATAAGCACATTTACCTTCGTGATCCGCAGAAATATTTATTGGTACATTTTGATTATGCTCTAGACATTTATTTGAGTCAATTAGTACATTTATATGCGATAAGATGAAATACTTCCTATGAAGAACGGAATCTCGTACAGTTTGTATTAAAAAAAAAACAAAATAATTGTAAAATTTAACAACTTAAACGGATTTAAGCTTGGTAGTAATAACTTTTTGTGCCTCGGGGGGCACTAATCCAGTGACGGTAGCACGGAGCTTGGAAGTAGGTGTCACCAGCTACTGTTTCAGTCAGGTGCTTAGACTCTTTAGGCTTTCATAGGCAAGACATGCCCAGCTTTGCAACAGATATAAACGATATGACTTTCATCTACGATCCAAAATTTCTCATGTCTTTCAGAAGCCACTGGAAGTTTATATCGCATTTTAATCCGTCAAAATTGTTTAATTTTATTGAATACTAGCAATCTGTCAAGCGAAGAATGCTTCATAAAAAGTTTTAAATAAAATGTATTGTCACATCAATCTTCAAGAAAACACAGTCGAAAGGGTTGTATAGAAAGAGATAACAAGATATACAATAGATATATAATATATGTTATCCATTAGTAAGCAATATATGTATTTATTAGTAGTTCTGAAATATTAGGGCAGTTTTATAGCGTGAATTTTACCTGTATAAACCGTGTTCTAAGTAAAAAAAAACCCCGGCATGGGGCAGACATATTTTTGTGTCCGTATCATATAATTGGCGATAAAACTTCAGTGCCTAGCCCGACCGAAAATAGTAGGTAGTCTAACTGCGCCATGATACATAAAAAAATATTTGTAATTGCTACGTTGACGCAAATACATAATTATTAATAGATTTGAAAGGTAAATCAATAATAATAACATTTAGCCAACTATAATCAGTCTAGACTGTAATTATAATAATGAATTAACCTAAGTTGCGCTTTCTGCGTTTGTTCTACAATAATCCGGATGAAACAAGATGTATCAAATCTCACTGCTACAGATAATAAAACGTCTCCCAACTTTCATTACTATAGTTTTAATTTGACCAATTTGCTAAATGTATGAACAGTTGTATGTAGTTAGGTACAAAAGCTTTTAGCTTCATGCATAACTGTAATTAAAAGTTTAATGTACTTATTTACTTCGTAATACAAAAGTAAAATAGGTATTCGACCTATGTTTTCCCTATAAACTAAAAGAACATAATATTCAAATGGTATACAGTAGCAGAATTAAACACATTTATTTGAGTACGAGCTGATAGCACTCACATCACGAGGTTCAAATCTTGGGGGCGGAATATTACTTCGGTGTTTGAATTTTTCTAAGAGAATTTTTTAGATGTCTGGTTACGTTAAGCCGTGGAACTACTGACCGCATCTGTAGTGAGATGGTTGAACGTATTGCTTAGCATTGCGTTACGCGCGAGAGGTTCTGGGTTCGAATCCCAGGGAAACAAAAAATGTTTCGATCGGGCAGAGCACAGAAGTCTGATCAACTACTTGTCTGTTAAACAACGGATCAGTGAAACGGACACAGAAGTGTATTCGCCCCATGCCCCTGAGCGGGAAACAATTTCACAGAAATTAGGAAAGTGAAGCCTAACAATCGAGTCAAGCTGCGACCGAAGCCATAACTTCAAACTTAGAACATTTTCAACTCTATACTCGAATGATAAAAAAGACATGCTGTAAAGTATGGCCACTGCATGTTCAACACGTCTCTCTTTCGGCCATTCATTAAAAAAGACATCATTTTTTAGCCTCGTTACTAATATTGATTACCCGAACTCTAATCTTCGCTCGGGCTCAACTAATGAGTGATCTTTATACTGTATTCAATAGCTGGACGGACCGTCTCCGTAGAGTTAAAAACTTTTAGACGGCATAAAATCAGACATCGTGTAGTGGAAGATTTCAATTGTTTATATTGCTTAATAATGAATAATCCGAATTAATCTAAGTTTAAGTTGATAAAATGTATAAGATAATATTAAATATGTATATAGCTCTGAAGATATGCCACAACCTTAAGATAGATAATAAATTTCTTAAAAAATAAACGTCTCGGAAAAGTACTACTTTGTATATGTAGTATATATATATAAATCTATATAGATAATAACAATAAAGGCATAGTCTATATTTAGGAAAAGATCACAACATCGATATGACTAAGGGATCTAATTTACAACTACCGTCAGTGTGCCAGCTGAATCGTGGGTGAGTTCAAACAGTTTAAATTAACTCAAGGTTCAGATACCGCACTGACGTCACAGAGAATATGAAATACTTTTTGATATAATTAATACTCTTAAATCTATATCTCACTGTCTGGACATTCTTTAGGTAACTATCCTTAAAAATACTCTTTCAAACTTCGACCAACAACACAAATGATTCACTTAAACACGTCAATAGGGAAAGGAGATATAACCTACTGACTCTTTTTGTCCATGTTTATTGGGGATGCGTGAAAGAGACAACACTCTTTAAACCTGTTTTGCGAAATACAGGTGTTAAAATGTTAGCAGCGAATAGTTTCGACGGCAACTGTAAACTCATTTGATTATTTATAAAACAATCTTGCTTTCGACGATATAAAAAAAAGAGGAAACTCCGTAGCGTTTTATCCAAGTTGTGTTGTCGATTGAAGCTTTTAAATGATAAATTCCATATTATACAGTTACCTAATGATATTCTTTTGGGGGGCCTACTCCATGTTATGATCATTGTGTCAATTTGTACATAGCGAGTATTTCCGGTATTAACCATTACTTCTGTGCATAAACATACATACAAAAACAGTCTCAATTCTCCCTAAATCTTTTCTCCAAAAATTCTCATACCGCTTTTTTTCCATATTTTATTTATCGTCATTCGATTTAAGTCATGATCGATTATCAATTAGAGAATCGATATATAGACGAGAATAGCGATTAGTCGCTTCAGAAGTACGAAATTATACAGACCATCATTTACATCAATATCTCTCTGCGCTGTTTAAATATTTAAAATCGCTTCCGATTTGTAAAAATAAAACTCTTCCTTCGGTAAATATTTCTGTATTTCCCTTTAATTTACACTGTATCCGTGCATTCGAATACGGCTTGAAATGATGAAATGCTTTAAAAGCATGGAAGTATCAAAATAAATCAATCTTCTACCTGATTATTTCTTTGTACTATATATTCTGCAAATCTATCGCTACCAAAAATATCTCATCTCTTCAATGCGATTAAAAAACTATATGATTGAAATTCTGTGTTGCCTGTTTTTATTTAATATTTTGCTCCTTTTGTACAATTTAAAATAGAGGTTTTCAATCAGAATTTTCGTCCACGACTACAACCGTCTAACTAGTAATATATGATTAGTAAAATATAATAAATCTCTCATTACTTTTCTATCTACGCTTCATTTTAAATGATCCATTATCTTTTAGTATTGGCAATTTGATGTATTATACAATATTTCATATTAAAATATTTCCTTTTCATTAGCTTAAGACTTCTAGACCATCTTAGAGTACGACTCCTCAAGATTTGTACATGGGTTTGTAAAAATAAGCAAGCGTTACATTGGGTCAATGCCCGAATGAAGACACGAAAGACTGTTTAAAATACTTATTATATGTGATAGGTCCATATGTGAATTAGATTGGTGCAAAGTTCAAAGTCGCAACCCGAAGTATTCGATAGACGATTATATTTGGTCTTTAGGACCGTCCCGCAAAGAGTTGTTGCTGGAAAGACCAGAATCACAAGATTATTCTCACGCGATCGGTAAATAGTGACTCGCTAACTTTCGAAATATTTGTACTTACCCGCTTATACAGAAAAACCATTTCAGAAACAACGATGCTAATGTGTCGAATACAATTCTAAGTTTTTTTCGAACGGTATTCGTTCTAGCTACCTTTCTAATATGATAAAATTAAACAACTTCAACGAATTAAAATACGATAAAATATACTGAAGTAAAATGGTAAAGTCAGCTTGCAATCACTGCCTTGCAAAGTTTCTTTTCTTGCGTTTTGGATAGAAAAATTGAAGCAATTTTTCTGATTGAATGAAGCTGTTTCATTTTAACCTATACTACTCGCGTTACTAGTACCAGGATTATCTTCTACACACCTCACAAGCGAAAAAGCAAACAATAAATAGAAGAAGTTAGAGTGAACGATATTCGTTTAAGTGAATGTGAATTAAAATCTTGAAGGATCGTTGCATCTGGCCTATTGTGTTTTCTTGTTGTTTTTAATACTACGAATAATATGAATTTAAAAACTCTATCGCAAGCTAATAAAAAGATACTTGTAATGCCGATAAATCTGAAATTTATGGGTTACGGGGCGTTCGTTACCATGTAAACAGATAAATTCGTCATCAGATTTTTGTATAATTTAAAGGTTAAAAAATATCTTCTCTATTATGTGCTTGTATTATGTTCAATAAATATTTTCACTTTTAACGGTTAAACGCAAACTACATTATTTAAGTTATTTTGAATACACGTGAAATAGGTTAACTCCCAAATATATTTTGTATTTTAAACCGTTGACGTTTATTATTTAAATATTTCGTTTTAATAATAGACAAGATTTACTTTTCCTTTTGAACTAAAACTAATGTGTGTTTTGTTAAACTTACTTTGGATTTATATTTCAGCGACAGTATTTTTTAATAACATCGACGTTTTATATCATAATTTCTATTAGCCAGTCTGTTTATAACACTTTGAGCATTCGATAATATTTGGCACAGATTTTTAACCTACGTTATATATTTTTAAATCGTCAACTTTTCATTCCATACACTATCACAGTTACATTCCTCATTTAACAACGTATACACATCCAATATGTTTACATTTGTATATTATAAGTAACGTCATAGGTTCATAAATTATTTCTTATCTGTGTCGTTCCAAATAAAATTACTTACGCTAAATAGAAAGGAGAGTATAAGACAGTGAAGGGAAGAAAGATTATGCAAAAAATGGAGATAGAATTAAACAACATCAATAAAAAGAACTAACAACGAAGGTACAAAGGGCTTACCGGTGTTTTTCACAATATGTAAGGGATAACTGGAAATCTGGATGAATCCTCTTGCACCAATCAGCGTTGATACAAAATACATCTATTCGTACAGATTTCTAGTTGTACAACCATTACGTTATTAAATCGAGAATTTGCGCCCTACTTTACACAATGGAGATCATGTCCAACTAAGGGGGATCCAGCATTCCATTTAGAAGGAATTTAACTTTTAATTTGTGTAAACAACCAATTTTTCAAAAAATCCCTTTTAAAATCTCGAGTAACGAGGGGAATTACTTGACCTGACAAAATAATAATGTGATAATCCAAAAAAAAATATGTTTCATTACTTATCATAATCTGGATCCGCCTTCATTCAAACTCTCGATTTAATCGAACAGGGTTCATCTAATCCTAGGAATGGAAACGATACACAAACGTATTGAGAGATGGAAACTTCCTGATAAAGTCGTCGGTGGATTGTCGTACAGACGCATATGCTGAAGAGCTCTGGAAGGTGGTGCTGGCGCGGCGAGGGCTGCCTGTTGCGGATTGGTTGGGAAATAGTCTTACCATGTGTGAGAAGATGCCGGAGCCCTGCGAGCCTCTCTGCGAGCCGCTATGAGATCCTCCATGGCATCCGGAACCTCTTCTATAGCCCGCAGTTGTTGTCGCCAAGAATGGGACACTCGATGACGTGTTGGGCATGGATCCACCCTGTCAAAATTGATGCTCACTTTTCATACTGTGTTACGTAACCTTTCTATGTCCAAGACGGTCTTAGAGTCAGAATCAAGTTCAGTTATTATTTGCTTTACAGGGTTCTCGTACCTATTAATTCTACCTCTAAAACGCTCAAAAAATGTCCGCAGATAATATTATATAGACGGATAGGACCTTTGGGGATATTAAAATAATCACTGGATAATACAATTAGTATTGGGACTATAATATAAAGTAGGAAAACGTAAAGATAAGGTAGGAATGATACTTACGATCATGCTCCGTGCAAGCTGCGCGGAAGAACAGATAGCAACAGTCAATGAGACAGCGATAAACATTTATATTTGCCTGTACTTAATGCGTGTTCCCAATTTCGGTGCTAGTAAGGTAGAGTTCGCAGTGAAATAATAGATTCTTAAATAAAATAACAGTTTGGTTATAAGGAATTGATAAATGAAAAGTATAATATGACTGCAGTTGTTTTATCTGTGGTGTGGGTCAAGAAGAAAGTGGAGTCACGTCCGCCGTGGTATTTCTGAAAAGCTCTGCGAAGTCTACCTTGGTGCAAGGTTGAACTTCCATACGTCGACAACGGTGCATCTTTACTTTCGTACCCATCGAAGTGCATTACGCGACGGCACTACTGTATAATAAATTTTGAATTTGGATGTCGAAATTCTTTATTTAGCCAATGTCCATTGCCAATTGTATTCCGACGAGGCATACAACAATAATGTTTTCGCTGGTGACATTAATTAGAAGGTGATGCAGACAGGAGGAACTACTCTCCTATAACATAGACAACGCGGTGCGACATCATGCATCACGATCCAGTCATATAACTTTCATGCAGCAGAATTTGTCGATTTTCATGGAGGGCAAGAGAGGTTGCATGTCATGTGTGTTGATGAAGAGGCGCAGTATGAGTACGCCAACGGAGTGCGTGCGGTGACGTGGAAGATGATAATGGTATGATGACCACTCCCAGTCAATGTGGGCATAAGAATCGAAGTTGAGACCACAGAAATCTTAAGCCGTTCGACATTCAATATAACTGAGGAGCACGATGAGGCAATACGCGGGTTGCAACTTACACCAACTCTCGAAGTAGACGGTACAGACAGGCTCGAGCCTGAACCTCGCCCTCTTGGATGGCGATTGTGCTAAAATAAGAAATACAATGTAAGGACCATTTATTGTAGCACCAATCATGACCACCTGGACGTGAAATTGACTAGAATGGGGGCTCATCTAGATCACTATAGTAAATGTGCCGTGATGTCAAGAGTGTATGTGAATGTCTCTGAGGTTTGATTGACTTACTGTCGGCGGCGACAAGTTTGCTGTCGATAAACGACGTTCCTGCGGCCCTATACTTGAATGTCGACGACTCGGTAGTCCGGCTGTGCCTGGGGTCCCTCCCGGCGATGACGCACAAGACGGCGCAATACGTATCTTAGGCGTCATTAAAGTGTTATCGGATAGACGACGATTGGGCAAAATATTTGCAACACGTAAGAAGTTGCCGTCATTGTTCGTCGAATTATTAGATCCAAAAATCCATTGGCCCAGTCCTGTTTACAAATAAAGCGCACACATAAAGTAAATAAAATAATTTCTTATAACGCGTAACAATTGTAAGGACTGACGAATGACTCACTGCTTCTTAATGCGCTTACACTTCCGGAAACGCTAGCTGGTTGAGAAACGGTTGCTGCTGAGTTTCTTCTTGCCATGTCTTCGGCGCTAGAGGTCTTACGCTGTTCTACCCTTAGATTAGGAATATTAAATGGTGGAGCGGGCACGTTTTCTGTACTCAATTGGTGCCTTATCATTCGCCGATTGCTACCTGGTGCTGAAGCTCCTTCAGCTTTGAGCCTCTGTCGCTGGTACACTTCAATATTCTCCAGCATATCATATAAGATCTAGATTAATTATACACTATTAGATAACGAAATAATTTCTATTACAACCAAATAAATATTAGGTACCTCAATAAGGTTATTGAACTGATCAACATTAAGATTCGGGTTGACTGATTGTGGTGCCAATTTTGGTATAAGATCTGCAGCCATAACGTCACAAGTCAGACCGAACTTCTCCTCAGTGATTATGGCCCTATAGAGACCTGCAAAGATTGATTACGATAGTAGTAATGTTATGTTCAATTCGCAAATGTGAAACGGAAGTCGCAGAGCATATGAAACATACTTAGCATATTCGCACTGCGCTGTTGCCAATGTTTTAAAAAGAAGAAGATCTTCCGAATGGGAAATAATTTGTTGGTATTAAATATTTCCAGTTCGAAAGACATTCTTCAAGAAAAATATTACTCACGAACTATCCGATTAATGACATCTGGATCACCAAGCCGCATATTAAGTACAGTCGGAACTACATAAGTGAGGATACTGCTGTTATCCAGCCTCGGTAGAATCTTTTCAAACACACCGAGAACGAGATTGATAATTTTCACATCTCCTGTGTTCTTGTCTAAGAGGTTTTTTACTTTGACCACAACGGATTCATAGATAATGCTCTCTGGGATCACATCGGAAACATTTTGCAGTGCTATAAGTGCGGCAATCTGAAGATTAAAAATCTTTAGTACATGGTCCATTAAGGTAATGTCTTATGATTGGTATATGAAAATCAAATTCGTAATTATTTGCGTCATTAATAATTAAGGCTCAAATAAGAACCTTAAACATAATTTTGCCAATTTTTTAGAAAATGCTATAGTGTTATTATTATCAAGCTGAGTATACAGGATATATATATTTTATCAATAATAAATGTAAGGTTTTTCGTGGGTATTTAGTCATAATAATCTGTCAGCAGCATCCATTAAATTTTAAAATTAATAATATTGCTGTATATTCAGGAACAATATAAAGAAACGCACAAACCTGTGTCTGATATAGGTTGCAGTCTAAGGAATAAAATAACATCGGTAGTAAATCGTTCAAAGCCACATCTTCATCACATTTATTTGTTAAAATATGAAGGTTCTCCAATAGTACAACTGTGATTGGTATAGCTCTTTGTGAATATATTATTTTCCTAGAACATATTATATGTTAATTAATCTATCGGAAAAGTTGAAGGGCGTAAATAAATTATGTGTATTAATATATTATAATGAACAAAAATCGAAGTCCGTTACACGCACCAGTTTGCGGCGCGGTACTTATTCAATACGTTCACTTCATTCGGCTGTTGCCGGCCAACTGAAGTATAAAACTACTTGTGCGCTTGAAGTTCGCCCGCAAATCCGCTCATTTCATCCGCTCAGAGGTCATTCGCTACGCGTACCGCTCACCCGGGTGAGCTTCCGTCCGGCTTCTCAAGCCCCCACCCGCATTGCGGCGGTCCAAGCCGAGGGCGATGCCCCTCTCGGGGCACCCTTGGTCTAGCCGCAAACACGGCGAGCGCTTGCGCGCTCGCCCAAACGCCCGGTTAGTATTCCAGGCCCCCTCAGGGCTCAATATGTAATGGTCATTCAAAAAAAAGAGGATCCCACTATAGGCGAGTATATGCTAAGTACGAGTGGTTGCGAAGCGGACAAGACTCTTTTAATATTTTTTTAAGTTATTGATATCACCAACTCCTTCGTAAATTTCTCCTAGTATTTAATAACGTAACGACATTGAGAGTAATAAAGGTTATATATATCGCTTCAAAAACAAAACACGTACCTGACAGTAGGATATATGACAGTTTCAAATTCCTCCGGCGTGCATTCATTGACAAGCCAAAAAACTGGACGAAGTACAGACGGAATCATTTCAGACACTTTAAACTCTGATTGTAGTACAGGCCATACATTCTGCCACCGTAGTTTCTGAAATTTGACCCTCGATTTTTTTATTATTCCACACAAGCGATTAAACGCAAGCGCATTTGCAAAGTAGCGATGTGTGTCACCCACTCATAATTGCGAAACGTCGACGAACATTTCTTAATTACGACCACCGAACAGATGGAAAATTCAAGTAGGTTGGAATAATAACCTCGAAGTCTTTATATAATTTATAATATATATTAATTCGCCATGGCTAATCAACTGCGCGAAAAGGCTCGCTGAAAAACAATTAATAAACTTAAAACAAACGCTGAGCAATATATTTTTTATTTAATTGGCCTTTTACTGCAAAATAAATCTACGAATCAAATACAAACATAATACTGTTTTATTTTTTTTTAATTCCTTACTGAATTCGCGACCAGGTGGTAAATGAAAGCCCGGGAGACCGAAGAGGGATGGAGTCGCTAAGGACCTGGAAATCTTGGGCGTCCGAAACTGGAAGCAGGAATCACGGGACAGATCGCAATGGCGGAAACGACTAGAAGAGGCTAGAGCTATGTATTATTGTGTTAGTTAGAACATATGTCGCTACGCTGAGACTAATAGGAGCGAATAAAGCGGGAAATGTAAAAAAAACGAGGAAAATTCAACATCTTTAAGACTTTCTGTTGCTTGCGCTGTGAAACCGGTTTAATAGACCAAAAAAATATGTATGAAAGACACGATATTATGTCTATCTTTTAAGATTAACTTTCAAGAACGATGGGACGCGACCGACGTCGCAGACAATAGCTTTAAATCTATAAAGATGAAGAGGAGGTTTGCAAAAACCAAAACAGCCATTCTACGCGGACGAAGTCGCTGACACAGCTAGTTTTAGGTAAATTGTCATATGCATTTGTATGTTACATTTAATCATTTTCCGATTCCCTTCAAGAATTCCTCAATCTATTAAGAAGAGTACTGGAAACGGAGATTCAATTTGCTAATGCCGTTTAGACATCGCTGTATACACACCGCGATTCCGAACATATTATATGTGTTAACTGTACGTTAGCACAAAGGAGATATTCCTTTGTTCTAAATCCTATTAAACGGAATTAACAACCGGCGGACAGGTGTGTACTTTTTATTATTCACTAACGGCAGAACGCCGTGTGTTTTGTATTCTCTATAGTGGAGAATAAAATACTAATAAAAGTGTTCTTCTACCGGGCGCACGTAGCAGATACATCTCGACAAGATGCACTGTCAACCCATTTGATTTCGATTTTTCGGAAATCAGCAAACTGAAACCGGAAATAGATTAAACTTCACAGTTTTTTTAACTTATCAATTTCAGTTAAAGTTAACTAAGTAGTTAAAATAACTTTCAAATGAGTTTAACTAATATATGTCGCGCTTTAAATCGTTAGTGTTTTATTTAAATGTGTACTCGCGTGTGCAGTTTACTGCAGACAATATCTTATTTATTCAAGTTCAGATTCCCTGTGTAAAAAGAACAATTGATATTCAATTCTAATGAGAATTCACAGTAAGATACTAGAATTACTAAGCTTGACACACATTTAAACTGGTCCTGTGTCTATTATATTTGAACACATGCACACCGCTCGGAATTTTAATATGCTGTCTAATTCACGTGAGTTCGTCGAGTAATAGAATACTGTGTAACTACACAATTTTCAAGCAGTACTAATTATTGTCTGTGTATGGAATTTATAGTTCTAGGCTGAAGGTAGAACTTACGGTCTAATATATTCAACAATTATGCGCGTGCTCATAGATTGTTATACAAAGTTTGGCAAAAGGATTTTAAAAATACATTCAGAATGCTTTTTATAGCGGGCGAAGAAATATAAAGATTTATGCTTAAAAGTTATTGATGAACGCTTTTGTAGCTAATTGGTTAAGAGGTCCTGGGTTCGAAACCTAACGACACAATAGATTGTATCGAGCGGCTGAGCACAGATGTAAAGAAACCGATCAATAAAACGGGCCCAGAAGTGTGTTCGCCCTATGGCCCACGGAGGGAAACGGGATTTCAATATTGATGACAAGACACCGGCGGTACTCGAATCCACGTCCGAGCAATTGAGATTGAGATATCCTGCTACGAAAGGTTCGAGTCCCACTCGTGTCATAAATTTATATAACCTAACATTCTTTACTATATAGAAGATGTTGTAATATTATACATGGACATCTATACGATATCAAGTTATAGTACCCAATTGCAAACACATTATTAAACTAAAAACCTACAAATTATTAATAATTTACGCGATTACAACCTTTAATTGAGGCTTTGGCGTAGTGGTAAGTATGAACCAGAGAGGAATTTTTGATTGAAATTTTATCGAATTAATGTATTTATTTTGTTTGTATCGGAAAAATCATCGGGAGGTCGGGTGGACAACTATTATTACCGGCGTCTCCCGGGCAATCCGAGGGGGTCGGGAACCCCAGATGTAGAACCTACCCAGTTCTATATACATATAAACTTTATACCTTAAAGCATTTAAAAAGAACACACGAAACAAAAAATCGCCAGAAAACCGCTTAATTATTCGCTGTTTTATATCTTAAGCTTGATAATCGACGAAAACGTTTGAAGGAAACGAGCCAAATGTCAACAAATATTGTGCTAAGTGCTTTTTATATATTAAACAGTTAAAAAAGCAAATAATCATTTTGAAATAGTACAAATTGTAAAGGACAAAGCAACAGGTTTTATATAATATAGGTTTTATATATATAATCTTTCGTTAATAGTCAAACTTACTCTAAGCGTACAAAGCTCTCACCTTCGGTATATGCTGGAGAGCCTGAGGTAGCTGTTCCACATAGTATTCACACCTCGACCGTGAGTCCTTGTACAAAGCTGCGTCTAAAGCCTCCAACGCTTGTATGGAGGGCTCATTTGCACATCTAAACACGATTTTAATCTCCATAATGTATTTTAAAGCTTCACTGTAACACTATACTCCGGAACTGACTAGCGAAATTATATACATATATTGTTGTCCATTGGCGTGTGCTAATTTTTCAAAGTGACGTAACCTTTGATATATACATATCTAAGATGGCGTCATTTATTTTGTACATATAAAACAGGGTCATATAAAGTCTACTGAAACTGTGGGTACAATGTTATTCACGCAAGAACGTTGGGGTAAAGGAGAGGGGTATATATTTATATTATCTTTCAAAATTATTTGAAAAATAATATAAATATATAGTTCGCTTGAAACTCTGTGAATTGTACCAAAAAAATGAACAACGCATAAAATATAACATGCCCGTTCCCGTTATTCTCGCGAGTTCTCGCATGATAACACTTTTGAAGGATTCTAAACAGCTGTTGTGTACTTATTTTGTTTCTTTAAACAGCTTATATACCCACAGCTTCATTGAATGATGATGACCTTTCAACTTCTCATTGTGAACTCGACTTATTTCTTATAAAAATACTAAGCCGTTTTCAAACATCAATGGTGTGTATTGGCGGAACATACTTAAGAATATTGTTCGCTAGCCGTACTCGGAACTCGGTCTTTTATGTATTTAATAGTTCATTATGATTAAATGGATAAATTTTTATAATAAGTTGCTAGCATATTACGCATATTTTTGCATATGCATATTGAATGTTGTGGTATTTTATCCTTTATAAGCATGGAAGTGATGCATGCCAGATTGTAATAAAGTTAACAAAATTGAAACAATGCATTTCGTAGTCAAAAAATGTTTTATTATGTTTTTATCTTTTCGTAACGCTGGTTATTTCGGTGCATGAAAATTGCAATTTTTGTATTCTCCCCTTGCAATACAAAACGAGTTCGGAATACAGCTACATGTTTACAGTACGGGAGTAAAGAAAACAGTTAAACGGGGTGGTCATGGTGCTACGATGGATAAATAACAGAGCGACCGCCAATTTGGTTTTTTAATTACCTAAAGTACGTGATGAGCGGCATAAGCTGGGTCGTGGGCCTGTTTTGTGGGTCTCGATCGAGCAGACGAGGCAGGGCTTCGTGGAGACAATCCGGGGCTCGGCTGACCAGAGCAGCCACATTGCGGTCCAGCTAGCATACGAACAAATACGATTATTAACTATTGTCTATTTGTTCTACAAATATTTTTTTATATAGAGGAGACCCCAGCCATATAACATCTAAACAAGATGCGTTGTCGATCTATTTCGACTTTGGATATTCGGAAATCCAGACACTGAAACCGAAACGCGATTAAACGTAACGGCTTTTTCATCTGTGGATGGTGGTTCGTGACCTGGACGGGATTTGCTACCATCCGTTTAATGTCCTGGTTTCCAGACGAAATCCAACATGTTTTAGAAAAAAAACCTTTAAAAACAAAGCATCTCCGATGGAACGAGTATCTGACACTTTTAACAGATAGTAATGTAGGGTTCTATGAATACACATACTAAAGAAGGTACACAAAAATATTTTTTCATATTTCAGCTTAAGCCGTGTAAAATAAAAGCAATTCTTGTATATCATCATAATAAAAACACGTCTATTAAAGTGTACCTTTTATTTATTCCTTCTTATCTTTGATTACTTTTCGAGGAAAATGTCTTCGAGTCCACACATTCATGTATAATATGCCTCATCTTAAAAGCTTTCAGTTACCTTTTAAATAAAAAAGCTCTTTCTTTGAGGGCGCGATTAAGAGATCTTTAATCTCGCATTTCATCATTCATTGGCGGCCTTTTAAACCGTATGTTTAACGTTTCATTTTAAATTCGGAAGCCTCGAATTTAATCTGTGGATACCCTGTTTATTTCAGTTTTATTTTTTAATAGAGTGACTTAAAGGGAACTAATGTCAGTCTTATTTTTTAATAGACTTCGGAACTAAATTACTTACATAACCAATCGTGTATAGTTTATCTATGAACGTTGATTAGTTCGGGGTTAATTTGAGGGAAGGTTACAATATCGCTACCGTATTTTTTTTGATATAAAGGTGATAAAAGACTGTAACCGACACACGATCAAAATGTACGGCGTTGCATAATACCAAAATATATTAATGGTGATTTCTGGGATATTTTGGTCTTATAAGAATTAACCATTGATTTTAAAATCAAACAATTAACGTCAAATCACCTATTTTAATATTTTTACATGTTGGAAATATATAAATTAAAATCGATTATAAATTGGACAAATTTAGCAAGACTTGAATTGATATCCTCAGCGTTCCGTGCTGTTGCGCTAACCGAGTCGTAATTTTTAAACGATTTTTAATTAAAATTACCTATTAATTAAACGAGTATGTGTCCGTTCGTAGCGATGTGATTATTATAGTAAGATAAATATAGCCTTATATATCTCGTCCTCTTTACTCTATGTTATAGATAACTTGGTAGTATTTTCAAAGATCGTTGACAGCTTTCACTCACCTGCTCCATCTGTTTGACGTACAGTATGGGGTTAAAATTCGTATTGATGAGGGGTCGTCCCTGATTGAAAATGGCGGCAAGAATCATTCCCAGGGCGTACATATCGGCCAGGGTACTAGCGTGGCCGCGCATCTGGGTTTCGGGCGCTGTTGGATACATTTTATATTTTTGACTAGAGAAAACTAGTTTTAATTATTATTTTTTTTTAATTTTTAGTTTTAATATTATATATATAAATACTGAGGGTAAAGTTTATGAAAATTATTAAAGACGTAATTGAATCAAAACAATAAATTTGTTAGATCAATGACCCTGGCCTCTTGTAATAAAAAAAACTACATAATTATTTTTCAGATTTTTTAAAATTTCGAAAGAATACTAGCCTTCTGAAATTAAAAAGTAATAATATAATTTTCAAGAATTTTTTGCAATATCGCAAATTCCCTATAATACGGCCAGTATTCTTGCAATAAAAATAGACTATAATAATATTATTTACGATTATTCGTAAGTTGAAAAAAGTATTAGAAAGCATTAGAATATTTTTTGCAAATATTTGCAAGTTTCCAATGATACGGGTCACTTTTATTAAAAAAAACTGCAACTAAATAATATTCTTCCTACTTACCCATATAGTCGAGATGAGGTTGGCATATCCTAGCCACCTTGCAGGACCACTGCGGGACCGTCAAGAAGTCCAGGGGGTCGTCACTCGGTATTGGCTCTGCGAAGTATTAAAAAAAAAAACTCTACATTATTCGTTTTTTTAAGAATCAATGTTTGCAGAGACTTAATCGTAAATTAACTACTTTTTAACTACGTTTAAAACGCGATATATATTAGTTAAATTTAAAAATTATTTTAACTACGGCCCGACGTTTCGGATGCTTTGCAGTAGCCGTGGTCACGTTGAGACGGCTTTTTGAACCGTTAAAGTTTTAAACGGTTTTATTTAAATGTGTTCTAGTAGCTGCTTTGTTATTATATTATCAAACAATAATGGTTATAACATCTTATATATTTTACTAAAAATATGACAAAAGCGAGACTCGAATCCATTACCACAGTGAACCAGGCTCATCAACTCACGCTCTGTTGTATTCTGATTTTTTAAATCCTTTTGTACTTATACTTACAAACTCGTATAATGTATTTTAAATGTAACACCCACACACTAACCACAATTTGTATTGTTTAATTTCATGTTACGCGAAATAAATCATTGAATGATGACATTAAACAATGTTAACATTCAAGTATTATTTTACATGGACTTTTTTTACTGTATTCTAAAATAAACATTTTCAATTTCCTTAGTATATAAAGAGTTGAGTATTTCTTGAAAAAGTAAATCAGTCCCCGGTCAATAATAATTCAAATCACTTAAAAAGGTCCTCAAGTACTCGATAATTTCCAAGTGAGGTTGGGTTCTACAAAATTAATTGAATGTCCAACAGATTAAGGGCTTATTCTACGGATTTGTCTCATCTGGTACCAATTAATTAGGATAAGTGACTGAAAAAAAAAAAATAACTTGTGAAGTATTCAGCTCTACATATAACATACAGTCAGCGGACTGTGCTGCCTCATTGTACAAATTTCAATTATATTAATTTCTAATTTAAAAATAGATTCTAAATTTAAAAATTTTACGACTCGTGCAGGACTTGAACCGGCATCCACAGCGTACCGTGCTGTTGCTCTAACCTATTGAGCTACCGAGTCCTAAGTTCAAGTCCTGCCCGAGTCGTTAATTTCGCTCGATTTTAATTTACATAGTGCCATCATCTGCAAAAACATGTGAAAAATATTTCAGTTTTCAAATATATGTTACTACCACTAAAGTTTAATATCTAGAAGCTCTCAATATAACCAGCACGGTAGATATTAGCAGGACCACGGTAGATGTTTGTCGTGTTTGGAGTCCCATCCGTATCAATTCCAAAATAATAAATTCTAAAAGCATATAAGATGTCATTTTCTCATTGTTAGTTGCGTAAACACTTGTTACTTATTAGATACCTAAAACGTCCCTTGCCCCAAGTATGGGCATGCGCAGCGACCGAGTCATGTCTTTTATAATTCGAATAAGTTTGCTTATCCTTTCATTAAATAAATCTATTCATAGTGGATTACCGTCCTCCCTCTCAATGAAGACAAATCAATAACTATCAATGGCACTACGGTAAAAGATGTTATTATTATATAAGCGATATATGAATTATAAGCCTTATAATAGAATATATAGCAATAGTATAGAATAGCAATAATATAAATAATAATATTAAAAAATATATTCGTGTTAAACGAATTTGAACTAAGAATTTGCCCATTTATCTACTGTGACTGACAATATTATTTGTAATAGGAATTACACTAACGCAGAATTAACGATTCCTCTTTCAAAACTTGAAAAGCAAATTGATATAGATTCCGTGCAGTAGGGTACAGACGTCTGTAATACCATATGTGGTAATAAATGTTTAGTAACACGGAGTTTTCTGTTCTCTCCGAGGCACGGATATAATAACGCCTCCTTTTTTAGGTACTACTGTCTGTAGTTTACGCAATACACTTTTGAATAAAACATTTTTAACGGTTTAAAATGCGAAATACCGAGTCGTTATTAAAATAATTTGTAAATAAGTTTAACTAAGACATTTCGCATTACCTTTAAGAGTGTTTCATTTAAATAAAACTAAATTTTTAAGTTTTTCAAGCATTTGAAATGTTATTTGTGAAATTCCAAACGATTAAATAATTTTCGCCTAATCCAGTATTCGGACATAGAAACTCGTGAGCAAGCAGCCCACTTCTTCTGTAGATCAACGGGCCAAGATCAAAGTTGTTCTGTCTTAAAATTAATCTTAAAATTATTAATTCTGTTAAAATTAGTGAGAAACTATGTTCCAGGGGCCTGTCAATATTAATTTAATTACGACTTTAAAACAGTTGACGATCAATTATTTAATTAATATCGAACTGGCTTTTCTGCCGGCCTTTGATTAGTGATTTTGGAGCGTAGATGTGAATCGAACCCCACACTGCTGTTCGTCATTATTGTTATTTATTACTGGGATACGCAGCATTTTTGGAGATAACAAGTATATGTAGACATAGAAAAATATAGCGTTCAATTATCCTTACTATATATATTATATATGCGAAAGTAACTCTGTCTGTCTGTCTGTTACTCTTTCACGCCAAATACATTTGGTCTAGTACACAGATGAACGTATGAATCTCCTACTCATATAAAAGTTTAATAACCCATAAGAAGAGTTAGCGGTATTTAATCATTGCTCTACTATTAGATACTGATTATGATACATGCAATATAAAACATTTACATCTCAACGCAGCATGTAACATAGTAAATAAATGGCTCCATACATACATAGGACGAACAGAAAAAAATCTCGCATACTCTCCAGTAATGTTACACTTTAAAACATACTCCCTCCATATGTACAACCAGAAACACTACATAATATACTCACATCAAACATTTTTCAACAAATAATGCTTACAAGATAAAATAAACAGATATAATCAAGGGACTGTATATTATTTTTTAATATAACTCGTCTATCCTATAGCTAACACGGTTTTGAAGTGGTCTCCATAAGACAGGCATTGCCTAGTTTGGGATCACATTAAAAATAAAAATTAAATATGTATAGATCCACTTACACAAGTAGCACATACTCTTATTTGAGTATCGCATACTCTTTAGATATACGGAAAACACTTTCTTTATATATAGTGAGTAAAGGGGTCTTAAGGTCTAAATAGACCTTAAGTTTATTGTGATTAAAATAGGGAAAGTCTTTTATCACTATCATCAGTTTGTATAGATTTTAGTTTTAACAGATGTGTATTAAATATGTAAAACTTGTGTGTAAATAAATAAGGTACTGATTATGAGGTCTAGGTACGAGTCCTGGATCGGGCAAAATTCTTTAAGATAATTTCAATTACCCAGTCTGTTTGCCCTAATTATCTTGTCCAGCTCCTAGCGGTGAAACATGTTTATATTAAAACCAATTACTACTATAATAACGAGAGCTAACATGTTAAAGTACCTTTAAAGTATAATGATGACATCTCGTACTTTAAAACTAGTACAAAGCAAGAGAGACCTAACAATAATCGTCATAAGAATTACGTATTCTTTTTCTACATGTTATTGCACATGAAGGCGCTATATAATATAAAAATCCAAAATATGACTCGGTATCTCAATTGGTAGTGCACCAGCACATAACGCTGACGATGCCAGTTCAAGTCATGCCCGAGTCGAAATTTTTTTCAACTAATTTTCGATTTTTAAATCTTAATAGAGCAGTTTGAAACCAAACGTCAAAGCCAAACGCACCATTCAAAACGTAATTGGCGTTCCAATTCGAATATACCGACCGTATCTCTAATTGCTAACTGTTTCGGCTTTAAACGGATATAGTCTATGGTCTGTTACCTACGGACATAATAATTAACCGGTTGCAAATTGAAGTCACGATAGTGTAGATCTATCTGTGCAACCGAAGTTTCGTGAGCTGTTTGAACATTGCGAGGAGCCCATACGTCTTAGTACTGAAAGTTAGACGGCATTTGTCTTCTGGCAAAATGCAATCCATACTCATATAATAAACCTGAAGAGTTTGGTTTTTTTGAACACGCTAATATCAGGAACTACTGATTCGAATTGTTTAGAAAATTTATCGAGGAAGGCTTGTAGTTATAAAAATATCGCGCTGTGATCTGTAGGAGCGAGGAAACAAGTGGAAAATGTGGAAGTAACGGAAAAAAATATTTTTCTTTTTGAGTTTCCGTTGCGTGCGCTGCGAAAACGGTTCATGATACTCAAAAAATATGTACGAATGAAAGAATGATGATGAAATGGTTTAAAAACATTCCGCGACAGTATGAGTCTATCTTTTAAGAATAACTTGCAAGAACGACGGGACGCGGACGTACAATGCTAAATTCGATGACAAATCGACAAAAGCTCGATTGGCACAGCAGCTAGGAAGGCTATGGTCTTGGATTCGAGCCCCAGTAGGATCATCGGGTTGTTTCCATCTAAAATAGGACTTGTATACGTCCTTTTGGCAGTCTGATTCCATTCGTTATGGAAAGAAAAAGTAATTATTAAGTGTTGATAATTTTTTAAAGTTTCGAATATATACATACATACGTAATGTACCTAAACAGTTGACAGTAGAAACCTGAAACCTGTTTTTTTCTATGTGAACGCTTTCGTTAAGTAAAATTTAGACTTTTGTTAACTATTGGACAAAGAAGCTTTGATGGTCTGTCTCATCTTATCTCGACGAAATTTGATCAACATTCGCCTGTCATATTTTACAAGCGGAAGAAACTGGTCCGGCTATGTGAATTGTTCTCTACAATGTACAAACCTGCAAATTCGAGGCCGAATAGTTTCCACACTCCTCGCTGCGTCACAAGCACGTTATATGGGCAAACGTTGCGATGCATCGTCTTCATTGTTAAATGCATGTACTGCAGTGCTTCAGAGATCTGTCAACAAGAACCCAAACGTTATTTTGTCTGTCGTGTCTGAGGCTCGTTGGTCTAATGTGTGACTTGTCGACAGGTCGAGATTCTAGCGGTCCAACATGTTTATAATAAATTTATTACTTTCCTAAAACATCTTGGACTTCGTCTGGAAAACTGGATATTAAATGGGAGTAATTTTAAACATTTTTTTTGGATATCCAAAGCTAAAACAGGTCGACTGCGCATCTAAGTTATATGGCTGGGATGTTTTACTTTCCATCAAGTGAGGCACGTGCATGCATGCACGTCTTTCGGCTTATAAATTATTTTGACAGAATTGATTTTTAATTTTTAATAAATTGGTTTCGTAATCTTAGTAGTTAGATTCACAAACATTATTTAGCTTATTTAGCACAAGCAACGGACATCCTCAAAGAGAAATAATTCTTCCCGTTTGCAAAATTATATTTATTCATAACGTGTTCATAATTCAAACAAAATAGAGTGTGGTGGGCTAAAATCTCGATTCTAGCACTGTTTAACTTGTGTTGACATTCCATTCATCACGCGGTTGCCCTCAACGTTTACGCTGACCGCAACATAACAGGGAAGCTCGTACCGCACTAACCGTTTTTTGAATGCACTATTGCGTATACAATGAAAGCCCCTTATAATGAAAGTCAAGCCAGTGTAGAGTTAACACTATATCTAGTGAAATGTCGTTGAACCGTAATATAAATAGAAGAAGTAGAAATTTTTTTTTTCTATGATAAGCTCCATATAAACATAGGTTTCATATTAACAGTAGGTTTAACTTATCCTTAATACCCAGATTTGTCAGACTTGTCCATTGTAAATTACCGCAATGCCGTACCTGATGAAATCCATGACGAATCTCGAGGTCAAGGAAGTGGTACTCCCTCGCGAAGGGGGGGCGAGCAGTGGAGGTGGTGGGCATCGGTTGCACCGTGGGTGGGCCCAGGTAGTGAGGGTTCGGGATAACCGGGAACGGCCCCTCCGGCTCGATGGGACATGACTCCTGCACAATAAATATTTATATATAACTAAATTAACCTAGCTAGAATAATTGGAACTACAAAAATAGTAAGAATTAACTTTGTTATTTAAGTGTTTGTTTATATTCCCCCCCCCCTCGTAATGGTAAGAGTAACATGGTGGAAATAAGGTTTCAATATACTTCTTACATACAACTATACTGCTTGGACCGCCCTTTTATTTTTGAGTGAAAGAAGATTCGAATTAGGTATACTCGTAGGTGTACTTAAACTATTAACAAATTTACTTACTTAATACTAGGAGTTTACTACTTAGTTTTTGCTTTGGATGGATTGTGGATGGCGGTTTTACCTTGATCGAAAGCACGACCCTTGCTCAATGACGACACGCACTTGGCCGATTATTGACATTCTATCGTATACTCGTGCGAACCGTAGTCAAGTAATACAAATCGTCCTCATGTCGTCTGCTGCTGACTGTACTATTCCACATTTACTTTACACTATCAATCACTTGTTGCATTTCCCGTGAGAAACATTAGATGTATTACGGCTGAAGTAGAGCTATTTACGTTTTCCCCTTTAAAAGCTTAGTTTTGTTACATTCAAAGAATAAGACGTTGTTAGATATCCAACTTGAGTAAACTAAAATTAGTTGCTTTTGAGTGGAAAATCTACAAGGTTTTTCTAGCTTTATATATATCTAAAGATCTACAAACCTACTTGAAATTTTTGAAAAATAAGACATTCCAGTTTTCAATTGAGTTGACTAAATTAAAACTCCTCCAAAACGGCTCAACCAATTTTCATTAATTTTGGTATCTGGTATCAGGTATTTGAAGTATTTCAACTAAATTGACTACCAAAAAACGGTTCTTGTGAGTCAATCTTAAAAAATGGCGTCTGGACTTTCTTAAAGATTACGTAAAGAGGAATAAAATCTTATATACTCGTATATATTTTGTTTCGTTATCTTGGCCATTTCCGCAGGACACGCATTCCGTTGCGCTTAAAGTTTCATAGCATAAAGGGCTAGCACACCCTATAATGATATGTACACAGTTTTGGTGAATAAAGAATTTGTATTTGTATTTATAAAGCCAAACGATGCAAGTAACGATCCAAATGGTCAAACGTGTTGGTTTTGTCCAACTAGACGGCGTTAGTCCATTCTTAAAAATCAAACTTTAACCTACGCCCTGTTCTTTCTTAATCACGATACTCGTCAAATGTATTTATTATATTACTGAATCACAAAACATCATTTGTTTGCTTAATGGATTTCAAGAATTCGATTGAATAGTGTCTACTAAAAATATACAGCTTTCTTTGTAAACGTGGGCGGCTATAAAATTGTCATTTTCACTAATTAGCGAATTTCCATGGAACGAATGGGCTAGACTAAACCATTTATTTTTACCGTTAAAGTATTTTTATCATTGTTATTGTTGAAAAAGGCAACTCAGCGTCTTTAACAATTATAAACAAGCACCATTGCATCATAAATGTTTTTGTTTTTATATTTAGGTAAGATTATTACGTTATCTCTTTTTATGAGAGAGGAGGGCAGACAAACGTGTAAGGTAAAATACCACCGCCAAGATGCCCTGTCAAAAAATTTTCGCTTAGAGCCACGGACTGAAACAGAACATAGATCAACACGGCTGTTCCATTTGTGACAATTAGCGTTTTTAACTGCATTCAGTTACATGAATGTTTCATATTTGATGAATGAATGAACATGAATATAAAATGATTTATAAATATGTTGGACCTGGTGGGTATTAAACCCAGTTACTGATGGACCAACGAGTTCACCACTCCTAAGGTGTGACCTAGTTTCATTATGTTCATGTCCGTTTAGTTGACTGTCTACAATAACTCCAAGGCATATCAAAATATGTTACCATCTCGCGATAAGAACGACCATTATCTATAATTGTAGTTACTACTAGCCGTTTAAATATTATGTTTTATGAAATATTACACTTTATTATTTCCTATAGATTATGAAGTAATAAAATAAGAGTAATTAATAAGAGTTTTATTAAGATTTTGGAAGATTTTATTTCTCTATGTTTTTAAGTTTAGTGTTGAATTGAGTTCCCACTTGCCATGATGTTACAATGTATATAATCTAAATTATAATTATAAAGGTAAGAGTTTGTTTAAACTCGCCAATCTCAAAAACTACTGGTTCGAATTGAAAATTATTTTTGTGTTGGTTAGAGCGTTAATTGAGGAAGGCCTTCAGATGAGACCAATAGGCTCTCTCCTATTGGTGAAGAAATAGGGAGAAATTTGAAAAAATGGGGAACATCATCTTTGTGGATTTCCGTTACAGCGCTACGAAAACGGTTAAAAGAATTATTCTCTTCAAATGATTTAATAAAATGTCTGGGATAGTATCATAATCATAGAGGCAAAAATCCAGATTTTAAGATTAACTTACAAGAACGACGGGACGTGGATGACATCATGGGTAAAAGCTATAATTGAGATGAGGAGGAACTTTGCAAAAACAAATATTGATGTTCGCGTCTGGTAGCTGTTCTCAGTTGTATCTAGTTTTATCCGTCTTTAATTCTAAATGCACTTACATGCCAGGCTAAAATGTTGTGCAGGCTAGCATAGATGCGTTCAGTGGCAAACGCTAGAGTGTTCAGACTCTCCTCCAGTGGATGTATAATCTGAAGCATGCGTGGGTGTCGCAGCTTATCCAGCTCGTAGATACAAGCCTTCAGCCGGTCCAGCATCAGTTCTTTTCGCTTCGGACGGTACAACTTATCAACGACGCGCTTGTCAAACATGAATACGGAACATTCCTGAAACAAATTATGACAGTTATTATCATTTTTTTAACATTATTAAACGGTTTTATTTAGCTCGATCCGTACGAAATTTATTTATTTGGGTCAAAATTAGAAATTTAAATTTAAGCACCTTTTCGTTGTTAGATCGATCTGACATTTGGTACACATATTTATTTTGATGACAATACAATATAATAAAATCAATAACATTATAAATCTAAGATTTCCGCCGAAACAAGATGGCGGATTACATATTTTTCCTTAACTCCCTCAATATGAGTATCAAATGAAAGGGCTACACTAGTAAAACACGATGATTATGTCAAAATATAAAAATGTTCTGTAGTTTTTAGTGCACAAAAAATAAAACCGTTTAACTTTAAAGTTTTTATCAAAGTTTTGCAGTTGCATTGCACGTACATAAAGCACGCTGGTCAATTGCTTGCTGTCACGTGAAACTTGGCCTAAGTATTAGTTCTAACAAGGGGTGCTTTTAAATAAAACACTTTAACGGTTTTAAACGCTATATGTATTAGTTAAACTTGTTTAAAAAATATTTAACTACGGCCCCATGTTGCAGTGGTACTTTTGATGAGAACGGAGAAGTCTTTTTGAATGAAAGTTCAGTAAGTAATACTCATTGTAGTTATTTAAGTGCTTGAAAAATATTAGTCCCCCAAAATCCTCGTGTTTCTAGCTATTCTCATTCTCATTCGTTATCAAATCATTTTAATAACAATATTACATTCGCTTTCGCCTTTGGGTATTCAATGAACGTTCAACATATGGTGATGCCATCGACGAACTATTTATTACCGAAGAACCTGAAAGCCCAAGAAGCCTTGGAAGGAGGCGGCGAAAACCTCAGACGATTTATTTACGAGTTAATGATAACAGAATGCAGCCAGGTTTGCAAGATCTGCGCACAAACAAACACTAAAGAGACTGAAATGAAATGATTATCTCGTTTAGTGCTTTCAAAAGGGAAGAAAACGTTCTTGTTTTTTATTAAAAAGGAAAGCGGTGGATTTCCTTTTACGTTAATGGGCGCATAAAATTTTATTTGCCCTAAAACTTTGAATGGTGATAAACGTCCCCTTAAATTTTTATTAAGTGCTCGTTTTTTAATGGCCAGAACTTTGACGTGTCCTAACTCGCTGGTCAAATTTCAAGTGTAATATTTTTATTATATATCTATGCAGACAAAAGCGCATCTCGTGCAAAAGAAAAAGAAAAACGCGAACGACGCGCAACAAGTTTAAATTCAAAACGATTTATTGCCTTTGTACAGTAAAGTAATAACTACTAAATTGCATAGATTAATAATAGATATATAATAAAATAGATAAGAAAAGCAATCGGTACTGCACTGGTACCAGCAGCGCTGGTTTACAAACTGCCCGGGTTTATTAAAAGAATAGTGATGTTTATAAGCTGATGTAATAAAGTTGAAGTCAACAACAACAGATTGGAAAAACCAATGTTGTATGTAGTTGTTGTATTGATTGTTCTGGTATAGTGACAACCAAAATACATAATATGTGAATATTTTTACTGTGGAAGGTGTAGCCTAGCCATAGTCACTGAACAAGATGCGCCATCGACTTATTTTGGCTTTGGACATTTAGAAATCCAAACAATAAACGGCGATATTCCTAAGACCGATTTAATGTCCATATTTTCCCGATGGAGTCCAATATGCTATATATATAGATGGTGTAACTTGTGGAGATCGAACCAACGTCCCGTTGATTATTTTTACACTGCCATTAGACCAAGAGACCCTCAGTTCTATGCACCTTGGTAACAAACAAAGTAATGGGGATCGTTTTGACCCTTGCGTACAGAACCGTAAAGATAGCATAAGACTCAACTATCGCACATTATTATATGAGTATTTTCATATATTGTAGTAAAAATGCATTGGCCATAATAATGAATAATGCACTGCCCCTTTCAAAAATAGCAAATAATATCTATTAATAATCTTACTACCGTATCACTTCGCCAAATGTGATATGAATACAAAGACATTTAATTTTCGTTGAGAAATCCAGCCATTTTATTAGTTCTGTAGGTGGATTTATACTTTTGTAGTTTATACGCAAACGTTTATATATACTGGAGCATAATTGTAGCCTAGCCTGTGCTGGCCCTTTGTTCGGAGTAGCATGTCTAACATTAGAGAACACATCCATCTGTACTAATATATAAAGCTGAAGAGTTTGTTTGTTCGTTTGTTTGAACGCGCTAATCTCAGCAATTACTGTTTCGAATTGAAAAATTATTCTTGTGTTGGTGAGAACATTTTTCGAGGAAGGCTATAGAACATCGCCCTGTGACTAATTGGCAAATAGATAGAAACAGTGGGAAATGTAAAAAAAAGGAGAAAAATGATTCATCTTTGTGGGTTTCAGATGCGTACGCTGCGAAAACGGTTCAAGATACCCAAAAATATGTATGAACAACTATTTCTCTTTAAATGATCTAAAAAAAATGTCCACGACACGATATGTCTATTTTTTAAGATTGACTCGCAAGAACGACGCGTGGCTGCCGACTTTGTGGGTAACAGGTAAAATTTATAAAGATGAAGAGGAGGTTTGCAAAGACAAGTTTGGATGGGCAAAGTAATATATTACATGGTTTCAAACCTTTAACCGTGCTGTATTAATATGTTGAAGTATATTACATTTATATTTAAAGGTAGGATATTTTCTCTATGGTTAAGATAGCAACACTTCGGGCGGCGTCAAGATAGAGCGCGGTTGGTGGATGCCCAGGGCGTAAAAAAGAAACCCAAAAACTATTCTACGTACTGTACATGTGATCGATGGGAATACATTTTTGGAGCAAGAAACAATTGAGCCACAAAGTTATATGTATGCCTTGATTAAAATTTGTTGCCCTGGCCGACAAAAGTCGAATCCAGGACTCCTTGCGCTCAATGCAATGCTATGCAGTGTTTAACCTTTTAGCTACAGAGGAAAATATTTATTCGCGTGCAATATAAAATCTTGAGCTAACTTCAATAAAAACTTTAAATTTGAACCCGCTCTTTGCTTTGAGCTTCGATTGCTATTACCCCTGCGGAGATAGTTTTCAGATGAAGCCTAGAGGATGATGTAGTTTATTTTTGCTATAGAAGTAGTAGAACAAATATGACCTTTTCAATACTCTACAGCAGCCGTAGCCACGGGGGGAATTAGACACATATATTTCGCGATTTCAATCGTAAAATGGTTCTAAACTTTAATATTTTTTACATGATGGCTGTATATAAATTCAAAATTTGAAAATTATTTACGACTTGGGCAGAACTTGAACCGGCATCCACCATCCAGATATGACATCACCGATTTTTTCAATCTATTGATACATACACCTCTCGTGCAATCTTAACACTTGCGTATTAAGGTTCATCATTGATGATGAAATTACTGAGTTCAACGATTGATATATTATATATTTCACAAGTTATTGACAGTGGCTGTATATAAATTCAAAAAAATTACGACTCGGTTAGCAAAGGTAGTGATGCCGGTTCAAGTCTTGCCGAGTCGTAAAGTTGTTTCAATTTAAAATCGATTTTTGATTCATAAAATGGTTCTAGTTAAACAATATTTTCTCTAAAACTCGCACGCTTTGTTTGAATAAAAACAACAAAATATCTTCACTCAGTAATTAATTATAATTAATTATAAATCTGTCTATTACTCCTGACTAACTCAGCACAATTGAATCGGATATGAAGTCGACCTACTTCATCATTTCGCTTCGCAGCCACAGGATACATTATAAACCGTCAACGTTTACGTAACTAAGGTTTTCTCAACTACTCCAAAATGGAGTAGGAGTACTTACACCAGTAAGAAGAGAAAGAAAGAAATAATGTTATTTACTGATATAAGCGCACAAAAACATATAAGACTTAGTTAAGATTAAGATTAACAAATTAAATAATAAAGAGAAAAAAAACAACATTCTAACTATAATAATATTGTGTGTACAAAGTTGATTAGTATTTTATTCAGCTTATAATATCAGGTTCTGTATTGATCTAAAACTGATTTTCGGTATGTCCATGGATTGTGGACTGCGATGCCACATTAAAGCAAATAAAAAATACACTTTGTTGTAGACGGAAGTTCAAATCAAATATTATCATTATTGATTGTAGGTATTATCTTACTTTCGGACCATGGGTGAAAATGGCAAGCGCGAAAGTATTATGGACGTATCGCCCAGTGTACAATTGTGATTAAAACTCCTTCTGGTTTGTTCTACATTCTGTGATCTTAGCGTATCATGTCTTAGAATATCATATTTTAGACAAGATATAATTAGAATTGCTTTCATTAGAAATTTTAATTAAACAGGAAGAGAGTTATTTTTTAATAACTGAATTAAAACAATAAGCTATATGAAATTAATTAATAGAACATTATATTTATTGTATTAGTCGAATCACAAACGCTAACAACACGATCGATTAAATGTTATCTTAAAAAAATATATGTTAAAATGTTGTTTTTCTTGTATATTAATACTAAGAAGAAAACAACGAAATGGGATCGTTAAACAAATGTATGGCAACATGTCGTAGGTTCGATTTCCACAAACTCTAATATGTTTCTAAAATTAAATATTGATATTTTTTCTGAAACATGTCCAAAGTAGATCGCCAGCGGAATTTATTTAGTTTTGTAATTTTCTATTGCAACTAAATTATATGTCGAGAAATCGACTTGTGAAATGATATGTGTCCCCGAAATCGAACTCAGAAACTTTCGCATCGCAATCATTTGGCCAAGGAGACCGTAACCCAAGTTTTATTAAAGTACATTATAGGTTGTACGCGAGATTGTATACATTGGAACTCTCTTTGAAGTAAAACAGCGGGCTTTAATTGTCTTTGTAAAGGTGCGGAACCCTCCATAAATATTCTCGCGGGGATTAGAAACGGAGGGTAAATTATAATTTAAGATTTTAAGAAGATAAGACTATTATGAATTGGGATTGGGGGAATCTAGAAAAATATGCCACTTTATGTAGGTGCTCGGAAAATACCTTCTCATCTTATTAAAAGAGTCACCCGAGCTATACCTTTAGCTTAGCTCAGGATTAGAGCTTTGTCTTTCCGGGGGTGGTACCGACTATTGCGTTAATTCTACTTATCTAATAAAACGGGACAAAAAAGCTGTGAAAGATTTCAAAGTTTACTACAAGGTACTAGAAAAATATTGTCCCACGAGATAAGCTTAACATATAAATGATATATTTTAAAACCGCGGGAATTTTGCTGACTATTATTATTTCATATAAAAGTTGGAATCCCGGAATAACCTTGACCTATTTGTCCCGGGCACCCGAATCTAACCCAGCTAAAGGACCCTCCTCGGGATGTAACATGCAATGTACTATCATAAGTATTAGCTTCTTTTTGGATTTAATTGATTGGTGTCTTACTATTGTGGGATCATCATAACCTAATGCCCGGAAACCTCCTCATGTTTCACGGCGTTTAAAGCCCAGAAGAACTGAAAATACTAAAGCGGTATGGAACTTATTTTAAAGGTTCCGTACTCAAGATATTTTAATCGGGACCCCATTAATAAGACTCGTTGTCTGACTATTTTTTTTAATTTCCGCATAAACGAGATTGTGGTTTCATTTACACAAAATTCAAATATCAGCTTATGCAATGTGTATAATTATGCATTTAATAAAAAAAAAAAATTTTGCAAACGTCCTTTTCATCTTAATACATTATGGCTGTTTCCCACGACGTCGGTCGCGTCCCGTCGTTCTTGCAAGTTAATCATAAATGATAGACATATATTGTCGCCGAAATATTTTTGAACAAGTTATAGAGAAATCATTGTTTCACACTTTTTTTTGGTTTGGGCACGGAGGCCTCTAAGACGAATAATTTTTACCGTTTTTTTAACCTTTTCCACTCTTTCTTCACTCCTATTCGTTACAGCGTAATGTTATTTAGCCTGTCTCGATAAATGCTCTAACCAAAACAAAAATATTTTTTAATTCAAACCAGTAGTTCCAGAGATAAATGCTTTCAAACAAACAAACATACTCTTAAGCTGTAAAATATTAGTATACATGAATTATAGGCGTGTGTAGTGTATACGACATAGTGTTTTTTTAGCATTTAAAAATTTTAACTTATAAGAGTTCTCCCTAGATTTCGAAACTTATATAATTTAAATGCTAAAATTTAAATGCTAAAAGTTATAACTAATTCTATTTAAATAAGCGGTTAATAAAGTTATATTTTTGTGTTTTTTAAATAGTGGCAACAGCGGTTTTCAAATGTTTATTTTTTAGATTGTTGAGTTTGTATATAATAAGAATATAATTCAAAAATTTTATCCTTTTCGTTCGCCACCCTAAAATGACCCTTCAACACACAACCAATTCATACCCGTGGAATCAGTTTCATTTCAATAAAGTTTTCCCTGAAATATCGGAAACAATAACACCACCTCTTTTCACGGCAAAAAGCGTCCACTACTGAATGAAATACACACAATAGGATTACTTCGCTAACTATCGAAGTGCGGAAAAAGCTTTAGCGGCGCAACTGACCTACCTCAATCAATTTTCTATTTGCCTATTGCACTAACGCTATTGATATCGTTGATTCTGCGTAACGTTCGTGAGGAACGTGAGATCTACCGGAGTGCACAAATATGTTCAGCTTTGTTAGATCCCGACGATGGAATTTACCCAAAACCAAAGGTAAATTTTAACGTCCTCATAGTGGATGGCACGGTACATACTATTGACGTCCTAATAAGAAAATTAATTTGCTAATATAGTTACCGTTATAAAGAACTATTTGCATTTACTCGCGTATATTATAAATAAAAGTATTTAACAAAAATACAGTATGCTATAGTAGTTTTGGATTATCTATACAAATATTATAAAGCTGGAGAGTTTCTTTGTTTAAATGCGCTATTTTTCGAAAGTATAGACTCGAATTTATTTATTTTTTGTTCGTTGGACCATTTATCACGTAACCATTAAAATCTTTATTCCATCTGCGTTCAATAGTAGCGAAGAGCAGATGTAAATGTGGAAAAGAAATACTTCCTCGGTAAATGTTCTAATCGACACAAAAATAATTTTTAAATTCCAACTAGTTCCTGAGATTAGTGCGCTTAAACAAACAAACTCATCAAGAAGCGCCATCGACCAATTTTGGATTTGGATACTCGGGAGTCCACAGACTAAAGCCCAAACACGATTAAACTTTCCGGCTGTTTCATTTGTAGACGGCTGTTCGTGACCGGGACGGAATTTCGATATTCCTACCCACCCGTTTAATATTCAGATTTCGAGACAACTGTTTTCAGAAAAATTATAAGTCTAGTAATAGATAAACAATAAATTGTAGGTGATAGGTTACCTAATAGGTTAAAATAAAATCTCCTGAGATTGGGGCGTGAAAACAAATAAACTTTTCAGCTTTAAAAGCATATCCCGTTAAAATAAGGTCGAAGTTTTAGTTAATTAAAATACTTGTAGTCACTCGTTGCACTCGCGGAATGGACATATTAAAATTAATTTCAACGTTAATAATGTTAAGCAGACACTGTTAATTAATTTGACAGGCTCGTTGATCTATTGGTAGTAAAGTAAGACAAATAATCAACAGACTGTGGGTTCGATTTCCACTGGCACTGGCTTTAAATCAATTTATAATTTTCTGAAACATGTTGGCCTTCGTTTGGAAATCTGGACATTAAATTAATGGTAGAAATATCTGAATTCCGTCCGGGAATAGCCGCTAAGTTCAATCGCGGTGCGGTTTCAGTCCGTGGATTTCCGAATATCTAAAGCCTAAATAGGTCGACAGCGCACTTTGATTGGATGTTATATAATTGCGATATTTTACCTACCCTCAAGTGAGCTCCATGCTTCTGTCTCCCTCTATCATAAAAAATAAATAAACCAAGCACTTTGTAAAGATGTTTCCATAACTTTATTTGCGTCTTTCACTAAATAAATATAATAATAAAAAAACTTTCAGAATCGACTTGGAATTTCAGCCAATAAACCAACACGCTTAGAGATAAACGCGTTTAGATAAAATGGGACTGAGTATGTAAATTTACATGTGAATTTGTTGCTTTCATGTTATGTGTAATATTTCTCTCGAATAATGGATTTGTACGATGTTGCGTAAGTGAATTTTGTAAGGATATGGAAGCAGTGATAGCTTAGTGGTGACAACCTGTCTTGAGGTTCGATTACCGGTTTTGCGAATGAAACTTTAGTATTTTAGTTTCAGTTTATAACATAATATTATTATCTATACTAATATATAAAGTTGAAGAGTTTGTTTGTTTGTTTGAACGCGCTAATTTTAGGAAGTACGGGCTCGAATTGTGTTGGTTAGAGCATTTATCGAAGAAGGTTATAGGCTATAACACATTGCGATGTCACTAATAAAAGCGAAGATACAGCGAGAAATGTGAACAAAACGGGGGAAATTCTTCATCTCTGTAGGTTTGAGATGCGTACGCTGCGAAAATCGTTCAAGATAACTAAAATTTTGTGTATGAAAGAATGATTTCCCTTTAAATAATCTAAAAAAAAGTCCGCGACGCTATATGTCTATGTTTTAAGATTAACATGCAAGAACGACCCGAACGACGGGACGCGTACGACGGGATACGAATATCGTGGGTAACAGCTACCTACACTAATATTATAAAGAGGTAAGATATGTATTTTTGTATGTAACGGATAAACTCAAAAAGTACTGGA